AACCTCTGTATACACAAAACATCAGTTGATCTCTACCTCAGAAAAAGTAAAATGGCTATAAATATAATTATATTCTACAGTTTATTACTGAGATTCAAGTATCCCTTGGAAGACTAGGACAAGTGGAATAGTGCCACCGGGGAGGGGTGGAGCCAAGATGGCAGAGTAAAAACAGTGACTTGCTTGAGCTCTCCCCCAAACCCTCCAAATACCTATAAAAAATGGCTCTAGACAAATTCTAAAGCATCAGAACCCACAAAAAGACAGAGTGAAACAAATTTCCAGCCCAAGGCAGCCTGGATGGTTGATCAGAAAGGTATATCTCACTAGGTGGGAGAGGATCGAGGTTAGGCATGGACAAACAGGCCTCAGTGGGCTGAATCTCTGGCAGCTGTGGCAGTTTCCAGATTTCTCAATCCATGAATGCCAAAGACAACTTAGAAGGTCAATGGGAAAAGTCTGTTTCTTTGGTGAGAGAGAAGCACAGGGTCCCAGCCCCATTCTCTGAACTCAGCCCCGGGGTGGGGGCTGCCTCCTGAGCTTCTGGCCCACAGACTGAGGGGGAATCAAGTGGCTGATCAGAGGGGGATTGCAGAGATCTCTCTGCTGGTGCAGGATTCTCTTGCTTTGACCTTGCTTGGATCTGGGTCACAGTTCTGGGTGGCAGTCCTGGGGCAAGGAGGAGTGCTGGCATGGTGGAGCTTGCAGTGGCTGTACAGAGAAAATCCTCACAGTTCCAAGAGAGAGAAGAGTGCTTGCAGTCACTCACAGACTAGAGCATAGGCTAGGAAAGGAGTAAACACCTTGTCCTTGAACATAGCACCTTGGAAGAACTGAACATTTTCAGATCCCTACAAGTATCTCTGAAAACAGCTCCACAAAACCCCTGAAACTTGGGACAGTACATTCTCCACACTGGAAACAGTTTATAACTCAAGTAATTGGCCGAGATCATGAGCAAGCAGCACAAAAAGTCAGACTATATCATCTTATTTTGGTGACAAAGAAGATCAAAACATACAACCAGAAGAAGACAACCAAGCCAAGGCTCCTACATCCAAAGCCTCCAAGAAAAATATGAATTGGTCACAGGCCGTGGAAGAGCTCAAAAAGGATTTTGAGAAGCAAGTAAGAGAAGTAGAGGGAAAACGGAGAGTGATGCTAAAGGAGACTCAAAAAATACTGAAGAAAATAACACCTTAAAAATAGCCTAACCCAAATGGTAAAAGAGGTCCCAAAAGCCAATGAGGAGAAGAATGCCCTCAAAAGCAAAACTGGCCAAATGGAAAAGGAAGTCCAAAAGATTACTGAAGAAAATACTTCCTTAAAATTTAGAATGGAGAAATTGGAAGCTAGCAACTATATGAGAAATCAAGGCACTGTAAAACTATTCCAAAAGAATAAAAAAATTGAAGATAATGTGAAATATTTCATTGGAAAAACAACTGACCTGGAAAATAGATCCAGGAGAGAGAATTTAAAAATTATTGGACTATCTGAAAGCCATGATCAAAAAAAGAGCCTAGACATCATCTTTCAAGAAATTATCAAGGAAAACTGCCCTGATATAGTAGAACCAGAGGGCAAAATAGAAATTGAAAGAATCCACCGATCACCTCCTGAAAGAGATCCCCAAAGGAAAACTCTTAGGAATATTGTAGCCAAATTCCAGAATTCCCAGGTCAAGGAGAAAATATTACAAGCTGCCAGAAGGAAACAATTCAAGTACTGTGGAAACACAATCAGGATAACACAGGATTTAGCAGATTCTACATTAAGGGAGCAGAGGGCATAGAGTATGATATTCCGGAGGGCAAAGGAGATAGGATTACAAACAAGAATCACCTACCCAGCAAAACTGAGTATAATCCTTCAGGGTAAAAAAAATGGTCATTCAATGAAATAGGGGACTTTCAAGCATTCCTGAGGAAAAGACCAGAGCTGAATAGAAAATTTGACTTTCAAATATAAGACTCAAGTGAAACATAGAAGAGGTAAACAGGAAAGAGAAATCATAAGAGATTTATTAAGGTTGAACTGTTTACTTTCCTGCATGGAAAGATGATATTTGTAACTCATGGGTCCTTTGTCAGTATTAGGGCAAAGGGAGGGAAAAAAAAATATATGTATGTATAGACAGAGAGATAGATAGAGGGCACAGGGTGAGTTGAAGATGAAGGGATGATATCTGGAAAATAAAATTAAGGGGTAAAAGAGTATTATACTGAGAGAAGGAGAAAGGGAGAAGTAGAATGGGGTAAATTACCTCACGTGAAACAGAGAAGAAAAGGCTTTTACAAGGGAGGGGAAACGGGGGAAGGTAAGAGGGAATGAGTGAATCTTATTCTCATAGGATTTGGCTTAAGGAGGGAATAACATACACAATGGGGTATGGAAATCCATCTTTCTCTGCAGGAAATAAGGTGGGAAAGGGACAAGAGAGCAGGGGGTTGATAGAGGGGAGAGCAGATTGGGGGAGGGGATAATCAGAAGTAAACACTTCTGAGGAGAGACAGGGTCAAAAGAGAGAATAGATTGAATGGGGGTAGGATAGGATGAAGGGAAATATACGTAGTTTTTCACAACATGATTACTATGGAAGTGTTTTGAATGACTACATATCTATAACCTTTATTGAGGTGCTTACCTTTTCAGTGAGGGTGGGTGGGGAGGGAGGAAGGGAGAAAATTTGTAACCCAAAGTTTTAAAAACACATGTTAAAAAATAAAAATAAAATTAAAAAAAAGAATAGAACAAGTGCTTCTAGAAAGAAATGCAAGGGGGGAAAGGATGTGAAAAGATACAGGGAATCCTGGCCCATATGAGAGTGTGACACAGAAGGACAAAAGAGTATTAAACAATGGGATATGGACCATCTCAGGAGATAGTAGCATCTTTACATGTGCCAAAAAAAAAATGATATAGAACATGAGTCAAAAAGTGCTCTGCCCGTCTGGAAATTACTTTGTATTGCTTTGCACATGTTATGTCTTTACTTATCTTCATGCAGCTAGTATTCATTAAGGGCCTAATATGTTTTAGGCATAATTCTTAGGAAGACAAAAGCAAAACATTTCCTGCTTTCAAGGAGACTGAATTTTCCTGGGTGAAAACTGCATGGGCACTGAAGCGCCAAAAAGTCAATACAATGTATGGGTGTTTATAGTAAATACAATTTCTTGGATGGGGTGACACAAAATTGGTTGGGGGGGAGCAGGAAGGGCGTATTATACAACATAGCAGTTGAAGTGAATAGGAGCTTTGAAGGGAGCTAGGAATTCCGTTAGGCAGAGATAAAGAAAAGGTACATTGAAGATCTGAGGAAGAGTCTATGCAAAGTCATGAAGGTGGGAGGTGGAATGCTGTTCATGAGAAACAGTAAGGTCTTTGGTTTGGCTAGACCTCAGAGACAGTATAGGGGAGTGCTTTGTATTGTCTGGAAAGGTTAGACTGGAACTAAATTATGAAGGGCTTTAAAGTCAAATTAAGGAATTTGTGGTTTGTTCTAGAGTCAAGGAGAGAGCTTCTAAAGCTTCTAAAGCAGGGTAGTGACATGGTCCAACCAGACCAGAACATTAGAAATATAAATTTGACAACTATGTGGAGACTGGATTGGAGAGAGGAGAGACTGGAGTCAATGAGACTAATTAAGAGATTATCCTAATAGTCTAGGCAAGTTTCCAAGAGCTGAAATTACAGTAGTAGCTAAAGGAAGGGGGCAGAGAGAAAGAAATATATTACAAATCCCTGGTAGAATGTAAGCTTCTTGAGTAGAAGGAATATTTCATTTTTGTCTTTTTATTCTCAGCATCTACATTGCAGTGATTTGCATATAACAAGTGCTTAATAAATGCTTGTTAAATAAAAGTGTATAAATCTACATGCCCCATCTGATGGAAGTTCATAGATCTCAGGTTGGCAGGGGCCCCAGAGGAGGTATAGTCAAACCTCTCATTTTACAGATAAGGAAAATGAGGTTCAGGGTGGTTAAGTATCTTTAGTTGTCCAGGATCAAAGTAGCAAGCCTTAAATGTATGGGATCTGAATTTGGATCCTCTGACTCTAAAGTTAGTGTTCTTTCCACTGTGTCACATGACCTCCATAATACAGTCATAGTTCACGGAAGAAGAGATGTGTAATGGTTAATGAGTCCCTACAGAGACGCACAGAGATAACTGTTAGTTGCCTGACATAAACAATAGAAAGCTCTTCTGCCTTCTCAGAACATGTGGCTGAAAAGTGATGGAGAGCCTTGAGAGGCCTGTCAAACTTGAGGACCATGGCCAACCCCTGCTGATGCCTGTGGGCAAAAATTGCCTTACCAGAAGCAACTAAGGGTTATGTACCCATCGTCCAAACAGTCTTAGGGACACATGTAGGATGCTCATCACTCACATCGGTAGTGAACATAGAGATTTCCAAAGAAAAAGAAGTGTTCAGAGGAAGTGAACAGCTGACTGAGAAGATGGTGTCTAAGAATACAATTTAGCATTTTAAAACACAGGAATTCTTTCCCAGGGTCGAAGTACACCTAGCAAGTGCAGTGAAACTATCTATTTCTCCATTCTAATACTATCAAGTTGAGGACTTAAAAATGAAAAGAGATGGGGGAGTAGAAAACTGCCCATGTTCTGTGGGGGAAGTTGGGCAAACAGGAATGGAAAACTTTCAATAATGAAAATCTGAAAACACAAAGAAAAATTCCTTACGGGGAGAAGGTGGAGAATATTTCTTAAAAGTACCATTGTGGCTGCATGGGAAACTTTAACCAATGCATGTTGTAAAAAGACATAGAGAGCTAACAAGGAATAGAAAGGGCTGCCTCGGGAGAGTATTGATTCTCCTGAGCTCTTTACCTACAGGCAGAATGGTTATTTGTTGGGGATGTTGCAAAAAGGATTCTAGACCACATCTAAGGCAAACCAAGTGTTCTCAGAAGTCTTTTCCAGCAATTAGTTTCTAACTGGGCAGTTATGCCACACACAGAAATTTGGTCTCACCTGTTCACTGTCAGATATCCTGATTTCTTCAAGTTCATCCAAGTTGTCCAAGGTGGGAGGCAAGGCTGGTGATCCTTTCATGCCTCTAAATGAGCCCCAATCACAGTCTTGCTCAGCTGGCAGCCCTAGAAGGATATGGTTTTGCAATAAATATGTACTAAGAGGCATAATGAATGATGCTGCAGGAAGCATGAACAATTAACATTTGCCACGCATACCCATTGTCTGTGGTGTCATTTTTTCCCCCTCTGTTTAATAATTGTTAGCCATTTTCCTATTCTAGCTATAAAGGATCTCTGACATCTTGATCTTCTAGGTAGTATATGAAGAGGGAATAAAACAAAAGGCCTCCTTAATTCAATGGTAGAATTTAGAACTTTTTTGATCCAAGGAAGGGAAATAGAATGGAATTAAGAGACTCAAGGTTTTAATCCAGCTCTTCCAATACCCACCATCCCCAACAACTACCCTATTGATTCTACTATTAAAGAGATGTATGATCTCAGCTCAGTTGTTTAGCTGCTCTGAGTTTCAGCTTCTTCATCTATAAAATGGAAATAATAGTACTTGACCTACCTGTCCCATAGAATTATTGTGAGGCCAGAATGAGGATATGGATGTGATAGTATAAAGAATAAAGTGCTCTACAGTCATAATGCAGTGAATAAACATAAACCAAGGAGGCAAAAAAACTGAATCCTGGTTCCAGTGCTGTAACAAACAAGCTATATGTTCTGGAGAATTTGCCTCTCTGGGCTATGCTTTCCTCATCTTCAAAATGAAGGGTTTGGACTAAATGATCTCTAAGGTCCTTTTCAGTTCTATACTTCTAAATTCTAAGATTCCCTTCCACCTCTAGAAATCAATTTTTATGTTCGAAGGTTACTTGTAGTTCTTATATTTTATGTCCTCACACTCTTTCTGTTCTAATATTCTTTGTGGAAAGATTCTTCTGGGTCTGATATAAATCTTCAATTTTAAAAGATCTAGGGTGATATAATAGATAGAATATAGACCTTGGAGTCAGAAGATTTGAGTTCAGATCTGTCTCAGATGCTTGATTACTTGTTATATAGCGCTGGGCAAAGCAATTAGCTCCTTTGAACTTCAGTTTTCTTATATAGAAAATGGGGGTAATAACACCTATTTCACAGAAGTGCTATGAGGCTCAAAATGAGATAATTAAAATGAAATATTTTGGAAACCTTAAAGTACTAGGGGCAGCCAGGTGGCACAGTGGGTAGAGCTCCAGCCTTGGAGTCAGGAGGACCTGAGTTCAAATCCGATCTCAGATCAGACACTTGACACTTACTAGCTGTGTGACCCTAGGCAAGTCACTTAACCCCAATTGCCTCACTGAAAAAAAAAAGGAATCCCTAAAGTACTATACAAATGTCAGTTATTATTATTTTGTTGTTGCTATTACTATTATTATTGCTGACTTACAATATTCTGTGTTCTAAGGTCCCTTCCAACTCTGATATTTTTGATAGAAAAAAGGTCAAATTGGAGTGAGGACGGAAGTGACCAAAGCCAGCTAGGGTTCAATAATGGGTCTTAACGTTATTTAGATAAAACATTGCTAAGTTTAGGTTAATATTCAGGCATTATTATTTTCATAAATATTTTATATCAATGTATATTGGAAAAGACAAATCAGGACCTTGAAATGATAGCTCAATAAATTATAAGGAAAACTAAAGGGATAGTTGAATCCACCAGGAAGCAATGAGAATGTCGAAGTAACAAAAAACAAGTTGAGACAACCAGAGGATGAACCGAGTCACCAATATTCGCACCTTAGACCATTACTGGGACCATGAAGAGCTCCCTCACCCTCTCACTGTAGTTTGAATCAGGCACATGTAGGATTGTGCTAATGTGAGTGCTGAGAGCAAACAGTATAAGCGGGGTCAGAATGACATTTGGGAAAGCAGGCAGGAAGAGCATCGTGGAGATATATCTTACGAGTCTAAGGTCCTGAATTCAACAAACAAAATTTTTAAAAATGTAAGTTTCTACACCCACTCAATGAACTTGCATGCCCACAGAAACTTGCAATTTTAAGTATGTAATGCAGCAAGTAATTCTAGCTGCTAGCTGAAGCTACTAAGTTCACTTAGATAAACCTAGTTTTTCTCTACAACACTTCTGACTCCAAAATAGGTCAGGGAACAAGACTAAAGTCCCTTTTAGGTTATGGTATTGATAAATTCTGGACACAAAAATAATGTAAGCAGAGATGGCTAGGGACATGGGGATTTAATATTCCCCCAAAGTAATTCTTATTGACCTCAATAATAATTAAATTACTGTTCTCCCCTAACAATTCCCTCATGTAAATCAATCAGTAGGATGGCTATAAGCTACTTATCATTTCCTTCATACATCTATGCCACGCACTTGATTCTTGAACATTAATCATCCTGAAAGAGGACATAAAACATCCATACCTGTAGCAGCACCAGATCCCTTGGCATTTTCGGGGACAAATGACGTTTGACAGGCTTTGCTTCTACTGGGATCAAGAGCTGCCTCCCACTTGAGGGGTAGTAATTCATCCTGAACAAATGAGGGCTTGCTCTTAAGGAAGAAAACAAGAGACAGGAAAGAAAATAATAATCATCATTGTGTTGGAGTTTTAGTTGTATTTATTAAAAACTCTTCTTGTGTATAATTATAATCCTCATATATCATATTTCTAAAGCACTTTACAGCTTGCCGATCAAACCCCATAACAATACAGTAAGGCAGAGAGTACAAATATTACTATCTTAATTGATAAAACAGGATCAAAAGGTTAAGGGACTTGCCCAAGGTCATATGGCTAGAGTTAAATCTTGCATGCAAGGCTTCATTTTTTCTTAAACTCTACCTCAGTGACCATCTTCATGCTCTTGATGCTTTCACCTCTACAATTTCCTCCTCTGATTGGTGAGTTCATCCCTGAACTTCCATTTGAGAAGAACCTATGTTAGCTATGCTTAGCCTAGACCTGGTTCAGCCCACAACTTCCTGGTTTCCTTCTGGACCTTGCCCATGCAGATACCTCCTGCACCACTCCCACCACTCAATTTCCTTTTGTGTGTTGTTTTCCCTCTACTAGAATGTAAGATCCTTTAGGAACGTGACTGTCTTATTTTTTGTCTATTTGTATCTCCAGCACATAGCATGGCACCCCACACGTAGGAAACACTTGATAAGTGCCCTGTCTATCTATCTTTTGGCTCCTAGTCTAGTATTTTTTCTCTCTTACACAATGTTTTCAAGTAAGAGGTACATAATAATAAATGCTACTTATTGATCTTAACATCCTCCTTATTTTGCCTACAATTCACTTTGCTCTTCATCCACGTGGCAAATGTGTTTTATGATTCAGAGAAGAAGGGGAAAGAAAAACAATCCGGGAGCCAGGAAGATGTGAGTTTAAATCCCACCAATGATAAATACTTGTTGGATAACTTTGGGAAAGTCACAACCAGTTAGTGATCTAGGCATCTTTCAAAGTCTGTAATTTGGAGAGAAAGTGCTAATCTGCACTAGTAGAGGGTGTTTCCTCACCTGAAATTCCCTTATACCAATGAAATCACAGGTCCAAGTTCATAAACTTGTTCTTATTTATGGCTTCAATCTTTTATTCATTATTTATTTAACCAGGAAAGTTCTCTTTCTTTATTTTGTCAGTCCCAATCCTATTCATTCCATAAGCCCCAAATCAAATCCCAGACCTTCCAGTAAACCCTCCTTAACTCTTCCAGACCACACTATCCTCATTCTCCTCTACAATCCTAATTCTCTTAGAATTGCTGAATCACAGAATCTCAGAGTCGGAAGGAACCTCAAAGGTGATCTAATCTAACCTTTCACCTGACATAAGCATCCTCTTTAAACTTTTATAACATTCTATCTACTATCTCCATGGCTAGGAAACTCACTAGTTTATGAGATGGCTCATTCTACTTTTATACAGCATACATTGTTTGGACCACATTCTTCATGTGCAATCTAGTCTGCTTCTCTGAAATTTTAACCCATTGTTCTGAAGCCTATTCTATGGATCCCCCTTTCTGTACTATGGTATTTATATATTGTCTTGATTTATTCTTTATTCTTTTTGTTTGTATGCTTTCCATTCATTTATTCATTCAATGAATACTTATTAAGTCCACATATGTACTGAACAATAAGTTTATGCTGGATACACATTTAATCAACTCCACTGGTACCCTATTGCCTCTAGGATCAAATGTAATAGGAACAGTAATAATAATAATAATAGTAATAATATTTCTATAGCATTTATTATGTGCCAGGCATTGCACTAAGTACTTTACAATTATTAGCTCATTTGATCCTCACAACAACCCTGGGAGGTAGGTGCTATTATTACCCTCATTTTACAGATGAGGAAACTGAGGCAGACAGCAATAAGTAACTTGCCTAGGGTCACACAGCTAGTGCCTCAGACTAGATTTGAATTCAGGTCTTCCTGACTCCAGGCCCAGCGCTCTATCCATTGTGCCACCTAGGTACCTCTATTTGCTTTTTTTTGTTGTTGTTGTTTGCCTTTTTTTGTTGAGATAATTGGGGTTAAGTGACTTGCACAGGGTCACACAGCTAGTAAGTATCAAGTGTCTGAGACCGGATTTGAACTCAGGTTCTTCTGACTCCAAGGCCAGAGCTCTATCCGCTATGACACCACCTAGCTGCCCCCTCTGTTTGCTTTTTAAAGCCCTTGATAATCTGGTCCCTCCCTACCTTTCCAGTCTTTTTACACCTTACATCCCCCACAAGAATTGTCTGAGCAAGTGATAATGACCTCCTTGCTCTTCCTCCATTAAAGCTTCCCATCTCTTGACTGGGCATTTTTACTTGCTGTCTCCCATGCCTGGAACTCTTTCCCTCTTCATCTCTACCTCCTAAATACACTGGCTTCCTTTAAGTCTCAGTTAAAATTGTCACTTTTGCAATAAGTCTGTCCCAATCCTTAATACTACTACCTTCCCTCCATTGACTATCTGTAATTTAGCTTGCAAATATCTTGTTTGTTTATAGTCATTTGCATGCTGTCTTCCCCATTAACTTTTATTTCCTTTTCTTTGTATTCCAGTGCTTAGCCCATAACAGGCATTTTAAAAATACTTGTTGATTGACTGACTGACTGACGAGATGCCAGAGAAAGATGCAAATTGTAAGCAAGCCACACCCCCAACTTAATGAAGCTTACAGACTAGTAAGGCGATAAGACACAAATATAGAGAACTTTCTACATGAACCATTTACCTATTCTCCAAGTCAGTGATGATCTTCTCCCTTAGATCTTACAAAGCATTTTCATTTACAAATCTCTAATATACATATCAGAAATGATTAATTTTTATATCTCTATTTATGTTTTGTACCTGTATTGTGCAAAAAGTTTCTTGAGGACAGGACAGAGTCTTAGCTAAAATCTGAATCTTCCCTATCATGCCACTTAGGTATCTTGTGCATGTTTTGAGGGAATTCTTTTGGGGATTATGGGTTAAACTAGATAGCTTTTGAGGTCCCTTCTAATGCTAATTTTCTGTGATCTCTTTGAGCCTCAGTTTGCTTATCTGTTAAATAAAGATAACAGTCACATTATTTACCTCACTGGGTTGATGCTGAGGATCAAACGAAACAATCTATTTGAAATTACTTCATAACTATAAATTCAATTCAATTTGGCAAGGAATTATTAACTACTTATGATGTGCCAGGCACTATATTGGGTCCTTTTTTAAATAAAGAAAATAAAACAGTTCCTACCCTTAAGGATTTTACATTCCACTGAGGGAAAAAAGTACACGTATATAAGAAAGCTGAAAAACATTTTTAAAAGACATTTCATAGTGGTGGAATGTTGGACACTAATAAAGGGTAGAATCAGCCTTTTATAGGAGGTAGCACTTGAGCTAAGTCTATTAACATGTATCTATTGATGAAGCCTACTTAAAAAAAAACTGAGAGTTGTCCTTGTGACTATACATATTTAATCTTCAGTTTCTTTGAATGAGATCTATACCACGTCCATTAACTAACCAATCACATCTTTCTTATGTGGACAAAGTAAGGTCTTGAAAGATAGAGGGTAACTCTCAAATCTTGTCTAATAGTGGATACGGAAACACAGTCCAGTTCAAATACTGCTGTTCCTACCTGTGCCTGTGATGCTGTAGAGAACAGAAGTTCAAAGTCTTTGGTTTTAGTCAAGTCTTGAGCTTCCTGAAAATTTAAAAACAAAATGCTATGGTTATGTATATTATTATTATTATGAACACGGTTCTTCTGTGTTCTACACTTTAATCTTAATTTGCTATAAGGAAGATTTTTCTGATTTCTTTTAGACTATGCACTATTGTTGGTACATGTGTTACTGGCTACTTATACCCATGATGCATCTCTTTCCATTATTCTTTGGGTCACCTACAGTTTTACTCCTCTTGAGACTGAAGTGTTTTATGATTCACAATCAGATAGCATTTCCAGGAGAATATTAGCATTAAAAAGATGGGCTTCTATGTCCAAGCAATTTGGGATATGGAAAGCACTGAATGATTTATCCTTTCTCAACTATGGGCACAATTCACTATCTTTCTGCAGTATAGACTGGTCATGTAGTAAGAATTGGAGATAATAGAGGGTATGAATGCCATAACAGTAACCTCAACATATTAAAAGACTCAGAAAAAGGTGTTCAGGGCACTATGCAGATCATAAAATCAGCAAGGACCTTAGAGATCAGCTAGTCACTGAATGTAAGTGCTGGAAGGGACCTCAGAAATCATCAGATGAGCAGACTTTCATCTCCTTCATTTTGTAAATGGAGAAGCTGGAGCCTAGAGAGAAAAATGACTTGTTAAAAGTCACACAGCCAAGTAGTGTGACAAAGCCAAGACTCAAAGTCAGATCTCAAATTGCAATCCTGTGCCCTTTCTTCTCCATTATACTGCCTTTCTTTTGTGAAAGATTTATGCCAAACCACAAGGAGAATCATTAAAGATAAGTGGATAGAAAAGGGTTGTAATCTCCATGGGAGGAGAAAGAATATCCATTAGAAGAGTACAAATATATCTGACAAATTTCAATAGGCAGGCAACCATGCCAAGAAAACTCCGCTAACACGATGGCTGTGTAGACTTTCTGAGAGTTGTACATCTTGAAGGACATTCCATCTACAGTCTCCATGCATTGAAATAGGTGATCTGCCATGTCTGCAATGCATTCACTCTTCTCATTTGCCTCTTTAAATCCCTAGATTCCTTCAAGACACAGCACGGGTACAACCTCCTACAAAGGGCTTTCCTGATTCCAAAGCTGTTTTTAGTAATAATCACCAACATTTATAAAGTGCCTTACACTATACAAAATCATAGTGAGGTTTTAAGCTTTTTTTTTTTAAATAGCTTCTTCTTGTTTTTCAGCCACATGCATCTTGTCTGACTCTCTGTGACCCCATTTGGGATTTTCTTAGCAAAGATAATGGAGTGGTTTGCCATTTCGTTCTCTCAGCTCATTTTACAGATGAGGAACTGAGGCAAACAGGGTTAAGTGACTTGCTCAGGGTCACAGTTAGTAAGTATGTGAAGCTGGATTTGAACTCAAGAAGATGAATCTTCCTGACTCTAGGCCCAGAAGTCTATCCACTGCACCATCTAGCTGCACCTTTAGGTAGCTCAGGACCACACTAAGTTATTAAAAAGTTATTAAAACCTCATTAAGACTTTTTGAGATGCTATATATGCAGCATCTCATTTGAACCTTACAACTAACCCATCAGGTAAATACTACACATATTATTATTCCCATTTTATAGATGAGGAAACTGAGGTTCAGAGAGGTTAAATGATTTGTCCATGATCTCACAGCCAGTAAGGTTCAGAGGTGGCAACTGAACCCAGGTCTTCCTGATTCCAAGTACAACACTCAGACCCTGCTACCTTTCTTGCTGTTAAAATGACTTTATTGTATATACTTTGGATTCATATATCTATGTATAGGTTGTATTCTTCTAATACAACATATATACTATAAATTCTTTGAGGGTTGGGACTTCTTGCTTTTGCTTTTGTGGGTTTGTATTCCCAGAGTCTCATATAGTACTTTGTACTTACTTCTTAAAAGACTTTTGTTAAATTGTGTTAAATTAAATACCATAATTTCTGGTAAATGTGAATATTCCTGGGAAGAAAAATAATGATTAATAATGTGGGAAGAGAGTTGGGCTAAGATGCTCCAGGTAGGAACAAATCCCAAATTTTATATAGCTCAGGTACAATATGGTACCTTCTCTTTTCCATAGGCATCAAACTTGGGCCCCAAAACTCCCAAGTAAGGCCAAAACCAGATTAAGATTTAAATAGAACATGTTTAACAAAGTAAATAAAATGTAATACAAATTCAAATAGATTAATACAATGTCATAATATTTGATTAAAATACAAATAGCACTAATTTGTAGCTTTCTAAATCAATATATGACAGGATCCATTTTCTATATGAATCTGACACCACTGATTTAAACTATCCCCAAAGGAAGGGAAAAGCTATAGCAATCTATTACTGGCCAATCTATTATTATTGCTACCATTTATTTTCTTTTTAAAAATAAATTTTATTGATAACTTTTATTTTTTACAAAACAAGGGATAGAGGACCAAACCTGGAGTCAGAAGGACCTAAAATAAAATCTGAATGTATACTTGCTAGCTGTGTGACCCTGAGCAAGCCACTAACTTGTATGCCTCAGTTTCCTTAGCTATAAAATGGGGATAATAATAGATCCTGGGGTTATCATAAGGACCAAATGAGGTTATAAAGCACTTTGCAAAAGTTATTATATAAATGCTATTATTATCATCACATCACCTGTGGTCATCCCTTTGCCCCTCCCCCAGAGCCATCCCTTATAATGAAGATGTTTTTAAAGGGTAAGAAGAGAAAAAGTAATTTAGAAAAAGCAATCTACACAAAAGTCTGACTTTTAATTCAGTGTTCCAGACCTGTAGATATTCCAGTTCTTTAAAGGAGTAGGAGGATGTATCTTTTCCTATATCTTCTTTGGGGTCAAGCTTGATTATTTTAATTTCACAACCTTTTGTTTCAATTGTTTTGTAGAGACTGTTTTTTCCCTTTACATCATCATAGTCACTGTTTTCCTTGCCTTATTTCATTTTTCATTGGTCTATGTGAATTAATCACATTCATTATTTCTTACATTATCACAACATAATCTGTTTAGCCATTCCTCAATTGATGGATATCCCCTTGCTTTCCAGTTCTTTACTCCCATAGGAAAAATGGCTATAAAAATTTTTGTGCATATGGAACATTTTTCTTTTTATCACTGACCTTCCTGGGGTCTATGCCATTAATTTGCAGTAGTTTATTTACAGAAAACTCAACTACAATTGCTAATAGAAAAAGGCATGTCAGAAAGAAAAAGGAATGGGGGATGTACCTGTGATTTTATTGGTAGAGGGAACTGCCAGGTGAGGATATTCCTTCTATCAATACTGATTAGCACATTTTTCTTCAACTTACAGTCTCAGTACATGAGTTCTTAACCTTTTCTATGTCATAAACCCCTTTGGTAGACCCCTTCCCAGAATAATGTTTTCGTTTAGTTTGTAAGATATTTTTCCCATCTGAGTTCACTTACCCCCTGAATATTAAGAACCACCATCTTAGAATTGCCTAGAACATTGAGTGGTTAAATGACCTGCCCAGGGCGACACAGACAGTCTGTAATAAAGGTAGGCCTTGAACTCAGTTCTTGACTTCAAAGCTAGTTCCCTATGCACTAGATGATGCTGCCTCTCCAGCGAGAAACAGAAAAGACAAATCTAAAATCCCCATACATGTAGTAGTAGTAGTGGTGGTGGTGGTGGTGGTGGTGGTGGTGGTGGTGGTGGTGGTGAGTAGTAGTAGTAGTAGTAGTAATAGCAGCAACAGCTAACATTTATATAGTATTTACTATGTGCCAGGTACTATGTTTAATGCTTTATACATATTACCTCATTTGATCATCCCAACAACCCTGGTCAGGGGGAAATATGTGCTATTATTATGCCCATTTTACAGATGAGGAAACTGAGGCAAATAACAGTTAATAGAATTTCCCAGGGTCTCACAGCTAATAAATGTCTGAGGCCAAATGTGAACTCGTGTCTTCCTGATTCTAGGTTCAGTGCTCTATCCATTGAGCCACCTACCTCCACAGTCATGACTACTCAGGGTGGGTCTAACCTCTAGATGTATACTTCTCTTTCTCCTTCAAAATGAATTTAATCTAATGGCTGTGTGTGTGTGTGTGTGTGTGTGTGTGTGTGTGTGTGTGTGATTTAATAAAGTTTTGGGAGAGTTAATCTGAGTTAAATGACTAAAAACAGCTCAGCTATCCAGTAGATGCTGGGAGAATCAAGTATAAACTTCTAATCCTATGCTACCTTGAGTGTTTTAAAGTGCAGTCTGGGATAGCTCCCCGTTAAAAGAAATCTACACAGCTCTCCCTCCTATCACTGACTTACTCCCCTCCACAATGACATGACAGCTGGCCTGTGATTTGGACCCAGGCTATCTTCCAGTTCAGGTTTGCCTTTGCGTTGGCCCTGCCAGTGAAGTTGTCTCTTCTCTTTATCAAGCTCGTGGTGACACTGATTTGGCATCCATTGTTTGACTAAATACCTGAACTGTGCATCAGATGCCTTAGTTCCCTACCCCCACATTTGGCCAGACTCTTGGTAACGAAGCCTGATAGGAAATCTGACATCCTCTCAGGGCTTGGAACTTCCCCACAGTCCCCACTAATGACTCAAGGTGCCCTCTGTAAACGGCAGAATTCTGACAGTAATTACTTTTAATTCTAAGGGCTTCCAAAAGCAAACAATCATAACTCCTTTTTTGATTTAGTTTTCACACAGGCTAGCATCTTAATTTTAAAAGGTGCTAAGCATGTAATCACATTCTCAGGTTCATAGGAAATTAGCACTAGAAGCAACTCTGAGCTAGAAGGAACTTTATACATAGAAAGTTGGAGCTGGAAAGGGACCTGAGAACTCACCTAGTCTAGTTTTCTCATTTTACAAATGAGGAAACTGAAGTCAAGAGTAGGCAAGTGGTTTTATTCCAGGTCACACAGGCAATTAATGGCATAATCTTGACCAATGCCGTCAAACTCAAATAGAAATGGGGTCACTAATCCCATACATAAGGATCTCTATAAGTTGTGTATTGACTTAGTTTTGAGACGTAATATTATCTATGTGTTATTATATTTTTGCTTGTTTTATTAAATATATCCTCATCACATTATAATCTGGTTGACCCACACTCAGGAGTATTGTGGTCACACTCATGTGACCCTTTGGTGGTGTGCTGGACAGATTTCATTGGGCAGCTAGGTAGCAGAATGGATAGAGTACAAGGCCTGAAGTCAGGAAGATTCATCTTTGTGAATTCAAATCTGGCCTCAGATACTTACCAGCTGCGTACTGCTGGGCAAGTCACTTAACCCTGTTTGCCTTAGTTTCCTCAACAGTAAAGTGAGCTGGAAAAGGAAATGGCAAACAACTCTACTATCTTTGCCAAGAAAACCCTAAATAGGATCACAAAGAGTCAGACATGATTGAAAAATGACTGAACAATAAAAGAACTCAGGCCTCTTGACTTCTTATACTATGCACTGCTTCATATCACACATAACTCTTTTTTCTCCCATGTTTGTACAACTTAATAATGTTTCATTACCCAACTTTGCCATTTTCGAAGCCACTACTCTTTGCTAGAGAGAGTAAATGGATGTAAGGACTTCATATGGAGCAAAAAGGCACAATTTATGTGCTCACTGGAGTTGACTAGAAACCTGAAGAGTCCTCTTCTTGCCACTAGGTGTCTCTCTAGTTACACTAAAATGAGCAAAATCCTATCGTAATTAGAGTGACAAGGCCAAAAAGATGTTTTGTTCTTGGAATGTAAAAAAGCATTTCTTCTTGGCACTAGAATTCAATCAATGAAGGATCTATTTCGGATAATAGTACTACATTAGCAAGGACATTTTTTAATGCATTGCATCTTCCATCTCATAGGACAATATCCTTACAATTAGAGATTTCCAGGAGTAGAATGAACTGCCTAAAGAGGTCATAGGCTCCCCTTCATTGGACATCTTCCAATGCCCACTGGCTGGGTATGTCCTATTGGGGGTTACTTTTGTCTATGTGTTGGATTAGATGGCCTCTAAGTTTCCTTCTAACTCTGGAAATTATCTGATTCTTTGTAGCTGCTAGATCAGGGGTGGGGATTTGTTCTGTGAAGTTTGGATTTAGTCAAATGGATGCACTTGAGGACCTCCAGGGCCACATGTGGCCTTGAGGCTGCAGGTTCCCTTTCCTTGTAGATCATTCTTACACCAGAACCCTTCTATTCCCTGGCAAGGAGAATGGAGAGTGGAGTCCAAGCTACTCATGCCCTCTCATCTACTCCTCAGTTGATGAAAGCTGGAGATAGAAGCTCACTGCCAGTGTAGGAGAGAGAGCACACCAGTACTCCTCTCAACCTCCTTTCTCAAAGAGGGTCCCAAACTTCTAACACCAAATGAGAATGCAGGTCTCCCGATTCTTGATCCAACATACTTTCCACCACACTATAAAATCCTAGATAAAGAGCTTGAAGGAACCAATGAAGACATTCAACTCAATCCCCTCATTTTATCAGTAAGGAAAGTGCCTTGCCCAAGGTCACACAACTCGAATTTGGTAGAGCTGGAATTTGGACTCAAGCCGGCTAAAGTGGATAGAGTGTCAGGCCTGGAGTCAGGAAGACCCATCTTCCTGAGTTCAAATCTGGCCTCAGACACTTACTAGCTACATGACCCTGAACAAGTCACTTAACTCTGTTTGCCTTAGTTGTCTCATCTGTAAAATGAGCTGGAGAAGGAAATGGCAAACCACTCCAGTATCTTTGGCAAGAAAAGGCATCACAAAGAGTCAGACTAGACTGAAAAACAACTGAATGACATCTGACTACAAATCCTGGCCTCTTTTCACTTACCATGTCGCCTTCCATTTCTCTGCCTACATCTCTATCATTGACAAATATGCAGGGTATATACCTAGTATATGATATTTTGATATTTGATATGATAAATGATATTTTGTGTCCTAAATTTTTACTTACATTTTTAAACTGAGAGGAAACATGGTATAATGGATAGTAAAATGAGGAAGACCCGGTTTTGCTTCTGACAACTAAGGTGTGTGATTATGGGCAAGTCACCCAGCTTCCTAGGTTGGTGCTATCATACTCAAACAAAAATAGATCCCTGTAGTTGCATATTGAATTAGGAAAGTACAAATCAATATTCTCTCTGTTGTATTGTATTTTTATTTAGTTGGTTTAAAATTTTCCCAATTATGTTTTGATCTGGTTTTCTGCACTCAGGATTTTAACCCGTCCTCCATTTAATAAAAATGTAGATTGGCCCCTTATAGGCAATTTACGATCTCTAAGACCATAAATTGCCTGTAACTAAAACCATAAATTGCTTATAAGGGGCCAATCTACACTGTTCAAGGGAGTTTCTTTATCTCAGAGTTCCCTATATACAGGAAACCACAGGTCTGAGCTGTATCCCTATATTTCAGTCAAGCTTAATTGTTGATTAAAAAAAACTAATTTAGCTATGTGTTAGTTTCTTCATTTTGTTGGACAAAAAAGAACTATATATTTTATGATTGACTTGTTAATAAATATTTGCTTTAAAAAAACAAGAAAATAAAATTCTCAAGGTGTCCACTCTAATGAAATGTGCTGTGCTGGCCTATGACCTTTATCACATTTCAGCAGGCAGGGCCAGAACAAAAATGTATTATTTATAATACAATACTAAACAATAAACACTCATTAAGTACTCACTGTGTACAGACCACTCTGCTAGGGCAGATATAAAGCTTCTGGAATCCTTTCTGGAGACCCATGAAATAAGAGATCCCATTATTTTGTCCATAATAAAATGTGAGAAATATCTGCCTTCTATACTTCACAGAGTTATTGGGTAAATCATACTATTTAAATCTGAAAGGGGCCTTAAAGATAATTTACTCCAATTCTTTTTTGTTTTTTGTTTTTGTTTGGGTTTTTTTGTTTGTTTGTTTTTAGGCAATTGGGGTTAAGTGACTTGCCCAGGGTCACACAGCTAGTAAGTGTCAAGTGTTTGGTCTGAGGCTGGAACTGAACTCAGGTCCTCCTGGCTCCACGGCCAATGCTCTATCCACTGTGCCACCTAGCTGCCCCTACTCCAATTCTTTACATAAGGAAATTGAGGTACCAAAAGGTTAAGTGACTTTTCAAAAGTCATACAGGTATTAAGTAGAAGAACTAGGACTGAAACCCAGATTCTTTTACTCCAAATTCATTGCTTTTTCACTACATCATGCTGCAAAAGAGAATGTTTATATTAAGTGCTTTATACTTAGAAACTTCTAAATACATGTGATATTTGATAATAGTAATGAAAATACTCATAATCATTCCCCTGCTAAAATCCATTTCCAATGTCTTATTATTTTGAGCAGGTGACACTTGGCTCTCAAAAGCTATGCTAGTAGAAAATAAGCTATTATAGGTGCTACCATTTTGGAAGCAGTTCAAACACAGGCTTTGTGGTGGACGAGATGTCTGGTATCCCAGGGTATGTCCTGTCATGTTTAGAAATGCCTATCAACAGATTGGCTACAGCATGATGAATTTTTCAACAAGGTCACTCTCTTAGACCATCTTCTGTGGCACAGGAGCTCTGATCTGCCTTGGTACAAGGGACAGCCAGTTAGTTAATAAATATTTATTAAGAGACTAGTTTGTGCCAAGCACTGTACTAAGGCTTGGGACACAAAGAAAGGTGAAAGACAGTCCCTGATCCCAAGGAGCTCACAGTCTAATGAGGACAGCATGCACATATGTTACAGATGTGCTATATAGAGGGTAACTTCCATAAACTCTTGAAGTATTATTGACTTTTAGTGATAGTGACTCTTCTCAGGCTGATCTACCTAGTTTCCAGTATTTGTTACCATTTTGGTTCCTTCCCTTTCTCTCAATTGCTATCCCTAAATTCCTCCAATTTCCCAAAACCCTACCCACTGTACAAGGTCCTAATCAAATACCAGTTCCTCCTTTAGGAAGGCTCCCCTGACTAAGCCACTACGCCTCCTTTCCCCTGGCTTCTTAAGAGCACTTATAGTTTGCACCACACTGTCCAGCAGGCAGTTTCATATAGCATTGTGTTCTTTGTTTCACCTAGGCCCACATCGAGCATAGTGGATAGAGTGCCTCATTTGGAGTAAGGAAGATCTAGGTTGGAGCCCTACTGCAGATACTTAACAGCTGTGTAACTGGGTAAGCTACAACCATATTAAGCCTGAGTTTTATCGTCTATAGAATGGGATAATAGCAGTACCTGCCTTCTGGGGTTGTTATAAAGCTCATCATAAGCCTTAAAGTATTATGTAAATATCAGGTATTATAATTTATTTTTATTTTTGTTGTTATTATTTTCCCCAGCTAAACTTTTAGCTCCAAGAGAGCAGTGGCCATGCCATTTATCCTGGGCAGCTAGGTGTCACAGTGGATAAAGCACCAAGCCTAGTGGCAGGAAGATCTGCATTCAAATCTGGTTCCAGACGATTATTAGCTGCCTGACACTGGGAAAGTCACTTAACCCCTCCCTGCCTGACTCGGTTCCCTGAACTGGAAATGGGGATAATAAAAGCACCTACCTCTCAGATTAAGGATCAAAGGAGATAATAGCTGTAGAAGTTCTTAGCACAGGCTCTGGCATATAGTAGGCACTTAATAAATACTTATTCCCTTCCCTTCTCTTCCTTCCCCCAAACAACGCCTAGCATCGAACTGTAGTTTCCTAATCTATGAGTGTAAAAAAAAAGTTCTAAGTAAACAAATACGCGCTTACATCCTGTATTTTCTTCACTTACCAAGCTGGCACTGTCCTTGGGAGGGGTGCCATGCTTGGCCTCATTTAATACCTTGGCTCCTAGCTCATCTTGCAGGCTGGTATTTTGCTCTTTGAGCTCCTCCCTTGGCCGCTCTGACCCCTGACCTCGGGAATCCTCCATCTTGTTCACGAGCAGGTGGAGCACTGTGTCCCGGTGCTCCTGGAGCTGACGCAGGATTTCCTCCTTCTCTCGGTTGTTGCTCTCCTCTTTAGCAAGCAGTGCCGTCAGGCTTTGCTGCAGAGCGGCCACTTGTCTCCGAGCCTGAAGCTCACCCACTTCTAAGAAAGCCCGGAGCTCAGCCAGATCTTCCCCAGTGCTCCAAGGCTCTGATCTGCTCTTTTCCAACGGGACCTCTACCTGGGAATCCAAGTCTTGGTTTCCCCCTGCTTCAAGCTTAGTCATCAAGGAAGCTGTGGCCTCGCGCAGGTGCTGGGCTTCCTCCTCCAGTCGAAGCACCTGGCCCTTGAGGAAGCCTTCCCGCTCTCTCACCATGGCCATTTGTTGCCTTTGGTGCTGCTTATAATGCTCAAAGGATGCAAGCAGGCTCTGCAGTTCTTCATCTTTCCTGCGCAACTGGTCCTGAAACTGCTGAAGTTTTTCTCTTTGTACCCTCTGAGCTCTTTCAGTTTCTTCAACCTGAAAAAAATAATAGTATCAATAGCAGCTCATGTCTACAAAGCACTTTCCTCATAACAACCTGGCAAGACAGAATAGACATTATTATTTCTATTTTATAGAGGAAGAAATTGAGGGACCAAAATATTCAGTGGTTTGCCTAAGCTTATGTAGCCAATTGTGGTCAGATGTGAGATTTGAACCCAGGCCACAAATTTTCCAAGTTGGAAAAAACTTTGCCGTTAGTCAGTCATTTTAATTATGTCTGACTCTTTGTGACCCTATTTTGGGGTCATTTTAACAAAAATACTCGACTAGTTTGCCGTTTCCTTCTCCAGCCTTCTAAAGCCAGAGACAACCCTCTTGTACCTCCTTCTGACTCTTGGGACTTTAACACTATGCCTCAGTAGCCCTCTCATCCTGGAACTTCCCTAAGCAACTGAAGCCTTTTCACCCTGTAATATCCCTCAGCTTCTCTGGCCTCCTTCTCCCATCAGTGAGCTCTTCCTGAGGCTTCCATTCTGGGAATGGGCCCAGGTCAGCCGTATTTCATTTCCTCTCAGCTTTGCCTCTGACATATTTCAGAACATTGCCACCCTGACTCTCACCACCCCCTTCCAGCTCCTTTTTGTGTATTGTCCTCCTTCATTAGAAAGTAAGCTCCGTCACATCAGCAGCTATATTGTTGTTTGTATTTGTATCCCTATGTTTAACACAGTTCCTGGCACAGAGTAAATGCTTAATAAATGCTTTGTTGCCTTGCCTCTTCCCCATGATAGCCCCTCAAATACACTGAAGGCAACTCTCTTCTGAATTAAAATCCACTGTTATATACTTTAAACCAGTGATATTCAAAATGTATTCCGTGGTCTGATCTGTAGGATTGGATAATTGACTGATCAGATGATGAGAAGATGGGTTGCATCTGACTTTCATCACAATAGCTAGTTGTGTGGCTTGTCTCTGAACTAACCCTTACCCCCCCAACTCCCATACTCTTAATCAACTCTGTTCATGGTGCAAGTTCCCAACCTCCCATCTTCTGAGTTAGGCTTTGGTCCCTCAGGGTAGTTATAGCCTAATCACTACTTGAACATCCACAGTAGCAAAACCACAGCTGACATTAGGAAAACCTACTGCTGTGTCCACAGTGTAGGATCCTGTCTCTTCTCAGAAGGTGGTCTCTGGGGCTACAAACCTTTCTTCTCCCTTTTCATTTGGTTCGGACTGAGAAAACTACACAATATCAACAGGCATGGATAGGTTCTCACATTATCTCTTCCCTGAAACTGACCCCTCTTCTAAACATCCCTCTTGATGTCAAGGATACCACTGTCCTTCCAGTTACCCACATTCAGAACTTTGGTGTCATTTTTGACTCCTTACCCTTTCTCACATTAGGTATCCAGTCAATAAATCTTGATATTTCTATCTTTGCAATACCTCTAACATCTATTCCCTTCACTCAACTCACAGCTATCACTCTCATTCTGACCCTCATCATCTCTTACTTACACTACTGCCACATCCTCTTAATTTGTCTTAATTTGTCTCTCTTCCTCATTTTTCCTTCCCCACACCCTTCTCCACACAGCTGTCAGAAGGATTTTCCTAAAGAATGAGTCTGACCATGTTGCTCTTTTATTCAACAAACATTAATGACTTTCTGTTGACTCTAGGATAAAATATTATTTCATCCTTTTATTTTCATTCACTACCCCCCCTTTAAATTTCTATTTTGTTTTTGTCATGTACACTATTAGTACAGCAGTACATGAATATCATTTATAAATAAGTAAATATTTGCATATGATCTTCATGTGCCCATTTTCTTTCTTAATAATAGGGTAAGGAGATGAAATAAAAATACTGGAGACCACTGCTCTAAACTATACAGTCTATAAACTCATATTAAATAGTTACTTTACAGTCACACAGTGAGTCATGGAAGCAAAATGTCAACTCCTATCTGGTTTCTCCATTAAGTAGAAAATTAGAAAAAAGATATGATCAAATTGAGTGAGATATATAATTCACCAAGTCCCCAGTTAGAGCTATAGAATTATATTGTTTTTTTCTTAGTATTTTATTTTTCCAATTACACATAAAGATAGTTTTAAACATTCACTTTTTTAAGATTTTGAGTTCCAATTTTTTTCTCCCTCCCTCCCCCCCACCCCTCCCCAAGATGGCAAGCAATCTGATATAACCTATACATGTACAATCATATTAAACATATTTCCACATTAGTCATGTTGTGAAATAAGAATTAGAACAAAGGTAAAATCCTTGAGAAAGAACAAAAACAAAAAAGAGAGAAAATAGCATGCTTCAATCTGCATTCAGACTCCATAGTTCTTTCCCTGGATGTGGATAGCATTTTCCAGCATGCATCTTTTGGAATTGTCTTAGATCACACTGCTGAAAAGAGCGAAGTCTATCAAAGTTGCCCATTGCACAATGTTGCTGTTACTGTGTACAATGTTCTTCTGGGTCTGCTCACTTTACTCAGCATCAGTATAGAACCATATTTCAATGAGAATGAAGTAGTTGAAATACCAGGTGCAGAGGTGTTACCATGGCTTTATTTGAATTCAATTTTTAAAAAAAGTTACCAGCTAGGTTTGTTACTAACCTCAATCTACTTTCTGTTTCAAAATTTTATCCCAATTATATAATATGCTTTAAATAAAATTAGCTGACTTAAAAACATACTGTAATGAGGACTTTAGTTACATAATAATAGCAGTGTGGTTCTTCTACATTAGTATTCCATGTTTATGCATGCAATGTTGTACACATCTACTATCCTCAATTTCCATTTATTTGACAGGATGTCAAAGCTGAAAGAGGTCTCATAATATAATATACGTGGAAGGGGCCTTAGAGCATGGAATGTCATAGCTACAAGGGTCCCTGGAACATGGAGCATGAATGTCAGAACTAGAAGAGACCTGAGAACATACAGTATTACAAGTGGAAGAGAATGAGAGATGGAAGGAACTTTAGAACAGAGACCATAGAAAGTCAAAGCTGTTCCAAGGACTTTGGAACAGAAAATGCTAGACCTAGAAAGGCCTTTAGAACAAAGGATGTTAAATTGGGAAGGGTCCTTGGGCCAGAAAATGTAACATCAGAGCTGGAAGAGACCTTAGAATGTAGAGTTTTAGACCTGTAAGAGGCCTCAGAACATAGAACGTGGGGTGTCAGAACACTTAAAACACTCAGTGTGGAATGTCAACTCCAAAAATGATCTCAGTACATGGACTTCTACAGCTTGAAAGAATCTTAGAACTTATAATGTCCAATTTGGAAGAGAATTTAGAACACCGAATGTAGAATGATGGAAATAAAAGGAACCTAAGAACACTTATTTAAGATCATGCAGGTTGAATCTAGTTTCTCTAAATTTAAATCCAGTGCTCTTTCCGTTAACCATGCTTCCTCCCATCTCCCATAAGATGTTGGTTCAAGAAAGAGTGGTCATCTATTCTAACTCTTTCATTTTATAGATGAGAGAAATGTGACCTACACAGGTATACTGAATTTGGCATCAAATGACTTGGGTTCAAATCTTTGCTCTATCACATACTGCCTGTGTGACCCTGGGTAAGTGACTTCACTATTGTGGTCCTCAGTTTCCTCATCTGTAACATGAGGAGAGTTGGACCAGATAGCCTCTGATCCCTTCCAGATCTAAATCCTTGATTCTACAGTATATGAAGTTATAAGTCCAAGATCACACAAACAGCTGAGGCAGGAGCCCAGATCTCTTGATTCCCAAGTCAAGACCTTTTCCACCACCCCAAACTATACCTTTTACAAGTGCCTTCTGTTAAATTTCCAGGTAACATAAACACAGAGTAGAAAGGATGAGAAGTTACCAGATCTGTCAGTTCTTCCTGAATCTCCTCCAGTTTCTCTTTAGCTTGAAGATAGGCATTTTCTTCATGGTACACTTGGGCATTCAGCCGATCAACCCTTTGGAGAAGCTTCTGCTCTGACAGCTCCAACTCTTCAATCCTATACCATTTGAAGTGATGAATATTTGATAAGTTGCTTTTATCAGTGTTTTGTAATGTGGCCTAATAGTTTCACTGCACCGCTACATTCTCTGATGCTGCCATTTTCTTCCCTCAATGCCTATTCACTTCTCTTTCTCTCATACAAGTTTATCTCAAATCACTCTACAAGAATTTTATACATCCCAAACCCACAACTCACAAATTTTCTGTATTTTCCTTTAATTATGTTACTGTATGTAATAAGCACTATAAAAGCACAGTAAAAATAAGTACTTTTGTCTTAACTAGAGGTTGAGTCCCCCTTTCTTAGTCTGGCCCTACAGAGCAACATGGCAGGCTCTCGGAAGCAAGAGAAGTGGTGGTGAATGGAGCCAATCTCTTCCTTCCCTAAACCTACGGAGGGCTTCTCTCTTTGGTGATGCTATCCTAGACACTCGCTGGTGGGCCAGAGAATCAGGCAGCCAGGCTTTCAGTCTGAAGGACATACTTAATACTAAAATGGAAAGACCACCATCTCATTGCTTTTAGACTAAACTACTTAGTTGTCATCGTTGTCATCATCATCATCATTATCTTCTTCTTCATCACCACTCACATTTATATGGTGCTTCGAGGTATGTCATTTCACTCTCACAACAGGGTTGAGAGAGATTAAATGATTTGCCCAGGGGCACTAAGTATGTGAGAGAAGATCAAACCTGAGTCTTCCTGACTCCAAATCCAGAGCTTCCGAAGTCCAAAGGCAGCTGGTGGCACAATGGATAGAGTGCCAGGCCTGGAGTCAGGAAAACCTGAGTTCAAATCTAGATGCCAACACTTATCAGTATGTATGACCCTGGGCAAGTCACTTAAAAGTCTGTCTGCTTCAGTTTCCTCAAGTGTAAAATGGTGATAATAGCACCAACCTCACAGATTTATTGTGAGGATCAAATGAGATAATATTTGAAAAAAAAAAAAAAGGTACTTAACCCAATGCTTGGCGTATAGTGAGCACTATATAAATGCTTATTCCCTTCTCCTTCCCTTCCTTATACCTGCTACACAAAGCTGCCTCCCAGTGATGTAGGGGGACATCATGGTATATTACAAAGAACACATGATGAAAATCAGATGACCTGGGTTAGAGTCTCAGTTTTACCACTATTTCATTGTGTGCCTGTGAATAAGTAATTTCTCCTGTCTGAGCCTCGATTTCCTTATCTGCATAATGATAAAATTAGATTATTTCTAATGTTCCCTTTAGCTCTAAAACTCTATGTTCTAATGTCCCTTCCAACTCTTACATTCTACTTGCTACGTTCTGAGGTCCCTTCCAGCTCTAACATTTTAAGTTCTAAGGGTTTTTTTTTCTCAGTTTTGACATCCAATACTCAATACTGCTCTGAAAGTCTATGAACCTATACATCCCAAACATCTGATGGTCACTGGTCCCATTTTCAATGTCTTCTCTACAATGTATGAATGTATCATCTCTGTTTCTCTATGTACCGTAAAATTGACTGTCAGACACAGGCTCTGTACTGAACACGTATGCCAGTTGATTTGCTGTGAAGTTATACGCATCATGCAACTGAGGCTTTTTGGTTAAATTTCTGAAAACAGATTGAAATGGCATATTTACCTGTTTCTAAGCTGAGACTCTGACCTCACATGCTTCTCAACAGCTGTTCTGAGCCTTTGCTCTGATGTTTCTAGCTGTTTTCTAAGATTTCCAGCATCTTCTTCACTGCTCTTTGCTCCTTCTTCAGAAAGACCACCATATGCATCATCAGCATCTTCTGCATCCTCGAAGACCCAGGAAGTGTCAATTTTAACATTAAGATTCATACTGTCAAATTTGTCTTCAGTTGGCACTTTGACATGATAATGGAACTTTCTTTCCTTCCCTCCGTGAGCTGAAGCATCCATCCCAGAAAGAATTCTTGGGTCCAAATTCAGTACAATATCCAGGGCACTCCCAACATTTTCCCCTTAAAGACTGCTTGGTATCGTCTCCAAACTCTCAGTTAGTTCTTTGTTGACTCTTTGTTGACTGAAATAGCACGTTGAATATTTATAAGTGAACTTACGTTTCATTGAGCAAAAGTCATAAAATATAAATGAAGGCCTCTCACTTTACAGCACAATTGTTTACAGCAAAAGTCACTAAAAGCAACAGTCAGAAGCAATGACACCCTAGACTGCAAGCTGAATGACCTAGCAAATACAGAAGGGGAAAAAACCCAATATTCTCAGTTTATACAGTATTCTTGTTACTTTTTTTAATCTCCCAACAGAGAACAATAGTTATATAGTTATATAGAATTTTGTAGTTTACAATAAAAATGGTCACAAATCACATTCATACAGTGCTTTATACTTTGGAACAGAAAGAATCATACCTCAGATTTATAGATGGCCTTAAGTGTTACAAAGGACTCTCCACACAACAGCCCTTTAAGTTGGTACTGAAAATAATATTAGGCCCATTTTACAGATGAAGAAACTGAGACTGACAGAAAGAAAGTGACTTATCCACCGATTCCAAAGCCAAGTGCACTTTCAAATATACCATGATGCCTCTAAGCTCTACGACTCCCTTCTCTGCTGAAACCAGTAAGTTCTCCACATTCTCCAAGATACGTTTTTAATAGGCTCATCCTCAAATAGAGTGGCAGTCCTTTGTTTCCTTTTTGATTTTGTATCTGCAACTCCTCTCACATTATAAATGTCTAATAAATTCATGTTGAATTAAGTTGTTGAATTGAATCACAGACTTGGAGCTGGAAGGATTCAAAACTTAACCGTGCTGCCACTGGGGAGGGAGGGGCATAGCAAAGAAACTTTGATTCTATTTCAAAGTGGAGGAATTAAAGGAATATCATTCAAACTTTTAAGAATTAGCAGGAGTTAGAAGCATGCTGCCTTTGCCTTTTTCACGCCAAGTATTTCTTCAACTGAGAGTGAGTACCCTGTGAGGGTAGTAGTGTAATTATTATCTCCATTTTACAGATAGAGAAGTTGAGTCGCAAGAAGGTTCAGTGACTTAGGCACTAATTTCCATTACTAAGTGAAGTTGCTTCTCTAAGGGAAAATCCCATGATTTTTCTTCTAATGAAATCAGAAAAAAAGGCCTCCTATCAAGATATCTTCATTTTCTATAGCAAGGCTCACCTTTGGGTGGAACAAATAGCTGCTACTTATTTGGAAAGATTTGAGAGGCATGGGGCTGGATTGCTACCCCCAAAATACCACCATTTGTTATTCCAACTCTTATGACCTCTTTCCTATAAGTCTTGGGTCATAGATTTAGAGCAAGAAGGGACTTTATAGTCCCTTAATACCCTTGTTTTATGGGTGAGAAGAATGGGACTCACAGATGTATGGGTGTTGTGCCCAATATCAGATAGGTAGTAAGTGGCAGAGTGGGATCATAAAGGTTCCTCTGCCCTCAGCCTTTCCAAACACAAACATTTCTGAGACAGAGGGTCACCTCATCAATCTACAATCATAAGATTTAAGACTGAATAGGACCTGACATAAAAGAAGTATGTTGCCCATAATAGATCCTCTTCAGTATATCTTCAAGTACCCATATTAACATGGCAAAGAAGGAGCAGTTCACTGAAAGAATCTCCAGGAAATCAGAATGTCATGGGGCCTACTGTCTGATTTTGGGATTTGTCTCATGCAGCTTGAACTTGGAAAGGGCAAAAAAAAAGGAAAGCTAAGGTGCATTAAAAAGAAGCAAAAATAAGAAAAGTTAGGCTGCCAGAGTGATGGAAAAATAGAAAAAGACATGTAAGATGTGGGCGGCAGCTGGAATTGGGATGCAGAAGAGGGAAGCCATGGAATAGCATAGCCATAACATCCTTGATCCCTAGAATATCATAAAAATCATGATGATCCTAGGACCAAACTTGAGAGGGTTTCATAGATTCTATAATTCCATGTGAGGTCAGCAGACCCATTCTTCCTTGAGGTCTCCCACAGAATTCCATGAAGGAGACACCACTAAACTTTTGCCACTGAGGTTATGAGTACTGAATGCTGAGAAGGTGATCAGGAAGCATCGTGGGCTTACACTCTCATCTCTCTAGAGCAAAGAGGAAGTTTCATCCACTTGTAAGTGGGTAGCAGAAATGACTCTACAAATGCATTCCATCTTTCATTTACATTACTTTTATGCCCTAATTGGTCTTTGTTATTGGAGTAATGACCTTTATGTGGTCTGGTAATAGAGAATACTGTACAGGAGAGGCGTTCAAGCCATGATTTAAATAAGAGATGACACAAAATGGCCACACCAAACCTCAGAAAAAAGGCAAGTGGATCCCAAGCCAATGTTGTCAGTTTTCAGAGTACCAGTTGCTACACTTAGAATCCAGACCAGAGAATGTTAGACCCAGAAGAGAATTTAAAATATGAAATTCCAGAGTTGGAAGGAAACTTTGAGGTGATACAGATGGGGAAATTGACACCAGGAGAAGTGAATTGTCCAAAGTCACAGAAGTAGTAAATAGCAGCGCCAAATTTGGAACCTAGGTCCCTCCAATTCTACATTCAGTGCTCTTTTAGTAGGGACTCAAGAACAGAAAGCTAAGAGCAGGGATAGAATCAAAATGATCACCTAGAGTTCTATCCATATCAGGGTTGGGGCCTTCTTGGTCCTTCCCCGCCCTCATCTCCCTTCTCCTCCACATAAGGTGGGGGAGGCTCAAGAGCAGCCCCCAGGAGGAAGTAAAGGGGTATGTCAGGGCAAGTGTGAGGGCAAAAATAGCACATCATCTACTCCATGATGCTGTCCAGGGCTAGTCTAAGCTCTCAGTTTGCGATTGGGGTACCTATCCCAATGGGTTAGAAGATAGTTCTAAGATTTGGAGCAGTTCTCACATAAAAACCAACATGCAGAATCACATGACTTACTCACTCAGAACCCACTTAGACCAGACTGTTTGCTGTCCCCAAATGTATCCTGAATTCTTCTGCCTTCTCACCTTTGGTCCAATTTTTCTATGCCTGAATTGCTCCACCAGTCACAACCATCCTCCAGCCATCCTACTCATCCTTCAAGGCCCAGCTCAAATGCTGGTTCCCTCATGAAGCTTTTCCCAATTACTCACAACCAGAAAAAGATCATTTCCTTTTCTGGCCTTTAACGAACTTAACATATTTTGTTCAAGTAAGGATTATGTTCACATTTGGGTTGGACTAAATGACTGCTGAGCTAATTTACAGCTCCCAAATTCTGTGATTCTGATTATTGTTTTTATCTGTATATAACTCCCCAATTTCCTAATGAGGTTGCAAGCTACACAAATCCAGAAGCCCTCTCTTTTATTTATCTTTTTCTCTCCTTTGGTACTTGGCATACAATGAATTGCACACAGAAGGTGGTTAAGCAGTGTTTGTCAGATACTTGAATTCAAGACATTATTGATCAAGCCATGCCCTACTTGTCGGTATATAAATAATACAGGGTTACACACATTCCATAATACTAATTACAACACATTTTGTGGTGGTAATGAGCTAGAAACTGAGTAGGTGCCCATCAACTTGGGAATGGCTAAAGAAATTGCACATAAATATCATAGAATATCATTGAATCACAAAAAAATGACAAACATAAATTCAGAGAAACAGGAAGATATTTATATGAGCTGATGTAGGATGAAGTTAGAAGAATAAGAAAAAGAAAACAATATAAACAATGATCATAGCAACAAAAGGGGAAAGAACAATGGATGAGGTGAGAAAATGCTTCTCCAAATCTCGGTTCAAGTCCCATCTCTGATGCTTACTACATGGGTGACCTTGGACAAGTGATGACCTCCCTGGGGATCAGTTTCCTAATCTTTAAAATGATGGAGAAGGACTAAATGATATGTAAGACCTTTTCCAGCTCTAGATGTATGAACTATTATCTCTTCATTATATAGGTGAAGAACTAAATGGTGTGGAATAATTCATATACTGTCAGACTCGGTCAATGTGTTGTCTGGCTTTGCTAAACTATATATACTTTTTCCATTTGCAAATTCTTTCTTTCAAGAGATAACTTGGGGCAAGTAGGTGGCACAGTGGATAGAGCACCAGCCCTGGATTCAGAAGGACCTGAGTTCAAATCTGGCCTCAGACACATAACACTTACTAGCTGTGTGACTATGGGCAAGTCACTTAAACCCATTGCCCCCCCCCCAAAAAAAAAAGAGAGAGATGACTTGCTGAGTGAGGGAAAGGGAAGGAATATATTCAGGAAATGGATGTGATGTTAAAAACAAAAGGCATCAATAAAAATGTAATAACAATAAAAATAATGCAGGGTTAGTCATGTTACCATATCAAAGTGCTGAACACCATTTATTGCTTACTGGGTACAGACCACTAGGCTCACCGCTGAAAGAAGATAGAAGGGGGGAGGGAGGAACAAGGTACAGATTTTAAGTAAGAAAAGATCCTAGGTCAAAAGGACTCACAGGATAATAGGAGGCTGAACTATGAAGAAGACAATTTTAATGAATACACATTTCGGCATTGCTGATATTGTTCAATACTTCTAGTGTCTACTTTTTTGCCAATTTGGAATTTCTTCATATTGCATTGGTTGAATTACATCATCCAAACATGTGGGCTGCTGCATCCCCGAAAAGATCTCTTTGGAATTAGAAATGTGTACACATTGAACAATAATTACACAAAATTAACATATAAATAGGAACATATTCACTGAGGAAAATAGTTTTAACAGATTGTTTAATATAAATAAATGTTTTATTTATCCTTCTCATTGTTCCCTTCTTTACTTTGGCTTTCTTCTCTAACAACTCGTCTTCTTTGTACCAACACTACACTTACTTCTGACCATTTGTCTTTTGGGGCAAGATTGGTTAAGTATCGTTTCCAAAGGCATTGACTAAGAGAACTGGGCTCCTTGACTTTTTTTTTTCAGCAATACAGTTATTCATGTGTTTACAATTTAAAAAAACAGAGGCAAACTTTGGACGTGTCTCATAATGCCCAATCATCAGGCACCTGGAGACACCTGTGGAGATGGGTAGGCCATCCTGTCAAGAAAACTCTGGATGTTCCACACAGTTTCTGATGTGTCATCATAAATCACATTCTCAACCTGGATTCTCAGCTCTTCAAACACTCCTAAAATTTCTATTCCTCAGGCTCAACGACCCCTGTTCAATTCCTCAAACCATTATGCTCCACACTGAGGTTTTGTACAAAACTTGATTTGGGGAGGAAGAAGTTCTATATTCTAATCAATATATTGATCTTTTTAAAACAGAGTTCAAAGAGTAGTAAATTAGGAGACTACTTTAACTGTCATTTTTTTCTGTTTTAGCAAAGCATTTTACAAAGTCTCTCATGCTATTCATTTGGCTAATGTGGAGAGGCATGGGCTAAAAGACAGTGCCACTCAATGGCTTTGGAGCAGATTGAATGGTCACACAGTCACAGAGAAATCATTAATGGTTCAATGAAAACTTAGAAGACAAGTTTAGTGGTAAGCTTCATGGATCTATCCTTGACTTTGCAATACTTAATGTAACTTGGATAAAGGATGGGGGCATGCTAATCAAATTTATAGATTGTCCAAAATTGGAAGGGAGAATTAATGCATTGAATGACAGAATAGGGACCCCAAAAGACAAGTTAAATATTAATTTAATAGGATGAAATTTGGGGTACATGTAAACTCTTAAATGAGTTTGTTTTTTTTAACTGAACTTCACAAGTTCAAGATATGAGAGATGTGGCTAGATAGCAGTACATATGAAAAAAAAATCTGACGGCTCTTAATCAACTGCACACTCAATGTGAGCCAGCAGTATAATATGGCAGCCAGAAGAGGTTAATAGAACATTAGGCTTCATTAAGAAAGGTATAGTATCTAGAAGAGAGGAATTGATCATCCCATTGTATTCTTCCCCAGATGGATGACCTGGAAGTAATACTGATTTCCCTACAAAATGTAAAAAATCCTAGAAAGCATATCTAGCTTGTTAAATTTTTTTTGTGATGCTCCAGGGAAGAACTGGTACAAAAACACGCAAATGAGAATTCAGAGTGGGTGAAGATCTGCATTCCTGGGGAGAATGCCCACATCAAGGATAATATAAATCCTTTGAAATATTTAATATTAATAAATATCACTTATTCATAGTCAAAATTCTTTGGAACTTGGAGAATTTATGTGGTAGATTGGGTCCTGCACCTGTGATTTCACCGATATTCATTCATCCAGGGTGAGGAAACTCCCTTTTCTAATTCAGGTTGGTATTTTCCTACAACTCACAGACTCAGAGAATTGCCTAAAGCAGCTAGAGGTTAAATGACTTGCTTTACCCAGGGTCACAGAGCCAATATATTTTAGAAAGGGGTCTTCCTGGCTCAGAGACCAACTTTTCTATCCATTGTGCTCAACATGCCTTCTTAAATATTCATGTAACTTTAAAATGATTTCTTTAAATGATGGAATCTCAGAGCTGGAAGAGCCCTTAGAGTTCAACTGAAAGCACTATTTTGCAGGGGAGGAAATTCTGGCCCAAAGGAGGGAATTCAACTGTCCCAAATCCACCAGCCATTGAGAGCATAATGATGATTAAATCCCGGATCTCTACTTCTAGCCCATTGATTTCTTCTGTACCACTGTACAATTTCCTCAGCAAATAATTTATTGAAAAATATATACATAATTAATTTACTAATAACTCTAAATATAACAAAATTAATAACTTATATTACTCATTAATTAATAAGACTAATAAAGTCTCAAAAACACAGCAGCACCAATTTTTCAGTTCTCTTTCTCATTGTTTTTTATCCCATGGCAATATTTGAACCATCATTCATTGTGAAATTTAGTTGGGTCTTTTTTACAGCTCACTCTAGGTACCATTAGTATCTGTGTATGCTGAAGGTCAGGCTTTTGTACTCTCTAGCAATTTAGAACAAATTAAACTCTTCAGATTACTAATCACATTGGGAGTGAAGAACAGAAATTTCTCATGTACAAGGAAAATTGACCTGATGGGAGCTCAGCACGCTGGACTTCCATCCCCTGAGCAAGCACACCACTAGATGGAATTAAGCAATTCTGGCTAATTTACCTAAGGTCTCAGATTGCAAGGAAGCTTCTAGTTGCCCTAGAAAACCTAAGTGTATGAAGAAAAGTTCAAGTTAAACTTCTGATATTGTGCATTATATATTTTAGTAAAAATATGTAAACATATAACATGCACAAATATATAAAATGAAGCTTTCAGTACACATATAGCTTCCCTTGCTTAATTGTTCCTCTCTCTAAAACTTAAAGAGTGAAGTTCAAATTGTTTGATAGGGCATTTAAGGCCCTCCCTAACCTGCTTCTGCAACCTGACAACTCCCCAATAGCTTTTATGTATATACTCTCTTCTCCTTTAGACATGGCTGTCATCTACTCCCTGTTCCCACTATTCCATATATACATATAAATATGTATATATACATGTATATGTATTTCATACAAGATCAAGGAGAGCGAACTGACCTGGGGGCTAATGTTTAGGAGTAAATTCCAAAAGCAATGGGGTCACAGCTAAACTCAGCATCTTCCCTCAGCACTGGGCAAGTACAATGTGCAATCTCCCATAGGCACACTTAAATGCTTAATGAGTGAATAATAAACGATGAAAGATAAAAAAAAATAGGTCAGGAGGGTAGAGGCCAGACACCAAGACCTCGAAAGCCAGGAGTTCAGACTTGATCCAATAAAATGTAGAGAATTATCATCCATGCCTCTAAAAATCAAGGCCAGATCTGCATGCCTTACATCCACTTGTTATTAGGAAAAACAAAATAAGGATGATTACAAACCTGCTTCCTGTTTTCTGCCTTTTTCCCCCAGGAAGTCATCATGCACACTGAAAGTGCATATTTGGTGTTGAGATATTAGAGAAAATCAGTTTCTGTGTACAATAATTGTGCTTTTTTTCTCCCCTAAGGTTTACTGACAGAGTTTGAATCAATAAAAAGTCCTTTTGATACCCCAGCTTCTCTGCAGTCAAAGTTTATTTTCACTCACTGCTTTTCCCAGTATTTTCTTCAGGCTTCATGGGCTTGATTTTCCAACAAAGGCATTGGTTTCCCCCAGTGTCCCTACTGAGATCTGTGATTAAAAAGTGCACTTATGTTGAGATTTGTGTGTGTGTTTGTATGTGTATATGTATGACCCCTAGTTTCATTTATAAACATTTACTTAGAAACCACTGAAGTATTTCATTGCCTAGTCCTGTTTCAACCCTCTCCCATCTGGATACTGTTGATGCTTCTGTGAGGCTTAATTATAAGTTTTCAATAATCGTTGGGTTTTTCTTTCCTTGACTCTTTACGGTACAAATATTGACCTCCTGTCATCTTCCATAAAGTTGTTTTTCATATGAGGTCACATTCTTTACCTTTGAAGATTTCTGTATTGCTTTCTCCCTTATGATCACAAACCTTCCAACATCACTAGTTTTGCCTTGAGCTTTTTCTTTTTCCCCTCGAGCATTTAAAGGATTGTGGAGATCATCTCGAGTTCTTCCACCACCAGCATTTTATAGAAGAGGAAGCTGAAGCCCAGAAAGGTGAAGCAAGGTGCCCAATATCACACAAAATAGGGCCAAGGTTCAAAATGTGGTTGATCCCCATCAGAGACTGTTCCCTGAACCTCCTAACATCTGACTTTACTAACTCTTCACTTGGAAAATGTTTCCCATTGTCTCATGTGTTTCCTTTGCTATCACTGCCTTTCCTACCCTCACCAGTAGTGCTAGAAGAAAAATATTCTCTGAGAATGCTTTCCTGCACTTGTCTTTTTCTACCTTCTCATATTCATCCACAACACAATTCTTCTTCTGAAGCTTTCAACTACTTTAAGACATCCAAATGCATTCACAGTATCTCTTGAGGCTACTTTCTAGCCTTCAATGAGCAACATGAGGCTTAATTTTGAGATATTTATAATATGCTCCCTCTTAACCTCTAAATCTGTTCTTTAAAGTTCTGTCCTTGGCCTTCATCTCTTCTCTTTCTACATTTGACACCATGTACATATATCCACACTATCGGACTGTAAGCTCCTTGAAGACAGGAATGGTTTCATTTTTCATGCTTGTATATCCGTTGTCTTGATTAATAGATGTTTTATTGATTTGAGTTTAATTATGATAGAATGAATTGCACTGCAGCCAAAAAGCTATCTTTTTCTCATAAACATTTAGTTAAATATTTAATTCTTTGCCACATCTCCTCACCTGACCATTTTATTCTGTAACTCAACCTCTGATGCAACTCTCCACCCTCCCCCCTTCAAATCTGACTTGAGTCCTGAGGGAGGCATAAATGTAATAGAACATTTTTATAAATTGTCTCCTTTCCACCTCCTCTAGTCCAATGCTCCAGTGATGCCTTCTTGGACATTTTCCCTGGCTCTGAAGAGACTTCCCCTCGAATCACTGACATAGCCCTTGCATAGTCATGACAAACTCTGATTGACAACATTTATGAAGGCCAGGGGGTCCAAGGTCTTTCTCTGTGGCTGGCTGCTCCTGAAAGCAGCAAAGACCAACCTGCTTACCAACCTCTCTGTTTCTACCAGAGTCTTGGCTTGGCTTTCCAGGAACTAAGTCCAGAGGCACCTGCATGACTGAAAATTTGCTAACTGGGGGGTGTGAAATGTGAATTTCATTTTTGATTCCTGGAGTCCTCTTCAAATAATTTCTCTAGACTTCAGTGTTAACATTTAGCTAGCTATTGATAAATATATACAGATTTCAGAGAGTTTGTGTCCAGTAGTAAAACTGCAAAGCACATTGGTCAGAAGCATGCAGATGGAGACCAATGCCGGGACTTCTCTTGGTAGACCATTGCTCATTCCCTTCATCCCTTGTAATTGCACTTAATTTTTCTTTATTCAGTCCATTGTTTTGTTTTTTCATGTTTATGAAGGGTGTATCCTTATCTGAAATGTGATGTAGTCTGGTGTAAAAACGTTGCTTATCAATATAAAATCCCCACTTGCAATTTCCATCTTACAGTTTGAAAAGTGGCATGTACAGTTTCATGAACAAAATTCATCAGTTTAAAGCTGTGTCCAGTCAACATTCATTCACTGCTTGAAGGGGTTGACTTTGAAGGGCTTTGTCTTTGGATGAGGGGGCTGAGCTGCAGTAACTCTTATGCGTTCACTCCACAAGCTCTTTTTCGATCCTGCGGGACAGAGAACAATATTGAATTCATATAACAACCCAGGGCTGACAAATATGGATTGGGTTCATTTGTGATATTAAATGGCAGAAATATCAAAAGCATACTGTATCTACTAGTGGTAATAGCAGAAATGGAGGGGCACCTCCATTGGGTAGGCATAAGCTGTATCATATTAATATTACTCAGAAGTGGCATAAAGGATATCAGAGAATGACATGTATGATTCAAAAGGAAAGCTGAATCTGACACATAGCAAGAATGATTGATAACTGATAGAAAAGCTTCATGTTCCACTGATATACACACAATATCAAGATATCTAGAACTAGGTGCTCTGTGGTACATTTATGAGAGGACATGACCAGGAGTTTCACAGGACAGTCATGGCTGGGCTGAGATCTGTACAACTGAAACTAACAGATCCATAGAAACATTAAATGAAACAAATAATTGAAACTCATTTTCAAGTTGGCATTTTACAGTTCCCAAGAAGTTTTCCCCACAAATAGTGTGTGTTATTGTCCCCATTTGACAGATGAGAAAATTAAGGTATGAAGGAAGTAAAGTGATTTGTTCAAGGAAACACAGCTACAAAAATGAAATTATGACTTTGCAACTAGGAAAAATGATATTTTGCTTCTCTGAGCCATCTTACCATGATGGTAAAGAAAATAATACACTTGTCCAAACATATTAAATTTTGAGATGGAAATGTCATATTAGGCATACCAAGTCAACAAAATTGCCCATTTTTGCTTTAAATGACCTTTTGTTTGTCACATTCCAAATGGAGAAATTCCCCTATCATCTCGGGATATATCTATGCCCAGTTTTTGTGGGCACATAATTCTACCTTACATGATACAGTCACCTTCTTAGTAAAAGTAATGAGAAATAGGAAAATACAAAATGAATTTTAAAAGGTCTTTAAAAAAAGATTTTCCACAAATGGAAGAGGATACCAACCCGATGTCTTGGCTCACTGGAGTCATCAAGGCCACAGAATGAATGCTAGAGAGAAAAACAAAAAAAGGAACAAAAACTATAAAATAATATCAAAAGAAAATGAGAGAAAAAAAGAAAAGAAAAATGTAAGAGATGTAACATGGAATTCAATGACGTCATCATATAAGATTTGTGACATTGGAATTGATTTCCACAAAGAGAAAAAAGCTTGTTCTTCAGATCTCATCTCACAAGTCAATAAACTTTTGTTAGATATCTACCATGTGCTAGGCAGTGAATCTTATAAATGAAACAGAGTGACCACACATAATTACAAAAGTATTGTTATTAATAAGAACATTATCAACAATATTTTAATAAAAACACATTTAGTGTTTTAAGGTTTACAAAGAGTTTCTTCACATCAAGCCTATAAATAAGGCTCTTTGGGGTTTTTTGTTTGTTTGTTTTCCTTTGCTTTGTTGATGCCAGAGTGATTTCACAACTGCAGGAAAAACTTAATAAGGAAAACTCACTCTACAATAGATCAGCATCTTCTCTGAAACTTACAGAAAGTTTCCAGGGACACTGAGATAATGTGCCTTACCCTGGATCATACAGAAGATATGGTCTTATTGACTCAAGGATCATACCCCAGCATATCACTGCAAGAATTGTTAGCACCAATTTATTAATAAATCTGAGACTCAATGAGTTGCCCAGGATGAGCTAGTCATAACCAGCAAGTGTCAGGGCCAGGATTGGACCCAAGTCTCCTAACACAAATCGAGATTTTTCCCCATTATATCATACAAGTTAATTCAATTATGTCAATAAAGAATTCAGATCATCCAAATGCTTTCCATAAGAGTATACAAACCCAATGAAATTTTTACTAGACTGTCCCAGTGTTTATGAATTGAGGAGACGTCATCACAAAGCACGTATCGCAAAACTTAAAATCAGGGTTTCTTTTACTTTAACTGGTCACAAAGTTTTAATCACAATGCTAAAATGGAAGAGGTATTTCCCACTAATATATTAAGAGATTTGAACAATGCAAATATTAGCCTGCCAAAGCCATGTTTCCTGATGTCACCTATTACTCGTTTGTTCATTTTGTCAACTTACACTTACTACGTGCCTACTGTGAGCAGAGCTGTGCTAGGTACTTGGAGAAATAGAAAGTTAAGAGAAGAATGCTTTCCTTCATGAGGCTTATAGTCTAGTGAGAAGATTAAACATGACCATAGATATGACAAATACACTAAAGAGCTATAAAATAGAGTTCTTTGAGGTCCAAGGGGGAAATAAGGCTTCAAAAAGTAGGTGGCATTGAGCTTGTCTTCAAAATACTAGCAAGAATTAAAGAGACAAGAAGAAAGGGCAATATTATACTCATGTGGGAGACTAAGAGCAAAAACCAGGAGGCAGGATATATTTGAAGGGCAAAGAGTAATCTACTTTGGCTGAAACATAGGGGATATGAAATATAAGGCTAAAAAATATAGAGAAGAGCCAGACCATGGAAAAGTTTGAATATCATGCCAATGATCTCGGATTTGATCCACAAGGCAATAGGAAGCCACTGAGGATTTTTGAGGGGAGAAGTGGCATGACCACTTCTGTAAACTCAACAAACATTTTTGCCCTAAGATTAGTTTAGCATTGTTATGAAGAGTAGAATGGAACAGGAAGACATTAGAGGCAGGAAGACCTATCTATTGAAATAATTCTGGACAAATGTTGATGCAACCTTAAGCTGCAAGTCAGTGTGGTATTGTCGAAAGACCAATGGCTTTTAAGTCAAAGTCTCTTGGGCTCAAACCCTTTCTTTGATGCTCACTACCTGTGTCATATCTCGGCCAAGTTATTGAAACTGCTCAGACTTTACATCATCTGTAAAATGGGAGGAGAATCAGACAAGACAGCCTCTAAAGTCCCTTCTATCTCTAAGCTGATGATCCTAGGATCCTAAGGTGGTAGTGGTGGGGCTAGAGAATAGGGGGCAGGCATAATATCCCGTCAGAGCTGAGTATAAAGTAGTACTCAACAAATATCAATACCTGGAACATAGGATGCTTCCTGTAGCTGAAAATATAGATGATCTAGTCCAATATCCTTAACTTACATATAGTGGAATTGAGGTTTGGTGAGATGAAGAGAATTGTGCAAGATCACAAAACTAGTATGACACCACAGCTGGTGACTCAGTCAGGAACCTATGCCCTAAGTCTTTTGGTTCCCCATCCTCTTCTCTCTCCCTTGCAACTTGTTAAGGCTCCCTTCTGTCAAAACTGGAAGGTTTTACTAAAGCAGTTCAGAGCACAGGGCAGTGCAAGCTATTTTGGTTCTTCCTAGAATCCATTCTCACAGAACTGGAGTGCAGGGTGGGGTGAAGATGGGAAGTTCAGGAAAGAAGGAGGAACTTCCTCCTAAATAATAATGAGCATTTACATAGCTAGAATTTATATCAAACTTTAAGGTTAGCAAATCACTTGACATCTATTAATTTCATTTATCATCACAACTCTGCAAGTGATATTATGATCAATATTTTACAAATGAAGAAAATGAGGCTGAGAGTGAGTAAACGAATTGCCCAGCTCACACAGTTAAGAAGAATCTGGGGTAGGAATAGAAATCAAGGCTTCCTAATTCCAGATCCTGCCCAACCCTCCTCCTTAAAACAATGCTGAAAAGCCCTTATACCAGGGGGTTCCCCCACAGACCAGGGTCTTCTTTCCTATGTAGGACCTAGAAAAAATGGACAGAGATGGCATCCTTTAGGCATGTAAACTCTTCCCACGCATGCTTGATTTACTCAGAGATCACTATTGATCCATGTTCATTTTGAAGAAGCAATGTTAGTACGTCAAGAGCGATAGTGCCTCATCCTAAAAAAAGGTGCTGTGAGTGACAATATTTGATATTGCATGAGCTACAGATTTCTAATTCTGCGTCTGTAAGCCTGTACAGGTTTGTCAGCCAGGTTGAAATCTTATCCTTTTATATCCATCCTCCTTCCTGGAAACCTTCCCCATGTCCCTCGAATCTGAGACCTTTATTTTGACATTCGGCCAAATCTCCAGCTGGCCAAAATCACCAGGGGGAAATGAAGAGGAGGTGATTTGTGTCAGTTTCTGGAAGTCTTTCTTACCAGACCCCCTCCCATAGTCGGCTGTATCTTACTCAGATATAGGGAAGTCAATGAGAAGAATAACAGCTGATGTTTACATGTAGAGTGACTCAGTGTTTATGAAACACTTTACAAATGTGCTGTCATTTGAACATCACAGCAATTGCGGGAAACAGGGACTGTGATTATACCCATTTTACAAATGAGTAATTTGAGGATCAGAGTAACAAAGTTATTTGCCCATGATGATGTGGCTAGTAAGTTTCAGAGTCAGAATTTCAACCCAGGTCTCGTTGATTTTTAACAGCAACACTCTATCTACTTAAGCCGTGATATCTCTCAGTCCTGCCAGATGAAAAAACAAAGGTTCACAGAGGTGAAATAATTTGCCCATGACTACACAGCAAGTGTCAGGATTTGAACCCAGATCTTCTTTACTCCAAGACCAACACTCTCACCATTCAAGCCAGACTACCTCTTAGTTCTGTTTTTACAAGCTTTACCAAACATCAAAATGGCCACGGTATATTTGAAGTAGTGTAGTGTAAAGGACTTTGACTCAGAGGATTTGAATTCAGGTCACAGGTCTTTGACTCACTAGCTATGTGACCTTGGGCAAATTACTTCATCTCTCATGTCTCAGTTTCCTCCTCTGTAGAATGGGAATAAAAACATTTGCACTAATTATCTCATAGGGTTTATGTAAGTTAACTGCTAGTTAAACATGGAAAAACTGTCATTATTATTATTCAATCATTAAAATGAATGCATATTGCTACAGCATAATAAGAAGCATCTTGCTTTATTTACTTTCTACTCTTTTAGGAAAATCTACGTTTTGCCACAAACTCTCTATAGAAATCAAAAAATGATTACCAATTAGAGAAGGATTTTGGGTAAAGGGGAAGTTGCTTTGCATGTTCTAAAGTAATATATCTTCAGGGTCAATATGGTTGTATGTATGTTTTTTCTCTGCTATAACCTTATTTCAGGTAAGATATTTTAAATAATATTTTCTAAATGTGCTGGCAACATTGGCAGAGGAGAATTTCCGTTTTCATTTTGGAAAAATGTTCTACTGTGAAAGCTGGCAGGCTGTTGGCACACTACGGGAGGTAGTGCTAGATAAGGGAAAGGTAGTGTGGGGCCATATTACAAAGGGTCTTGAATGCCAAGACAAGGAGCTTATGACTTATTCCATATGAAATGAGGAGCCACCTCAGATGCCTAAAGCCAGAGGTGTCAAATTCCCCAACAAAACCAAATTAAAATGTAATTGGCAAATATTTAACAAAATAGATAAAAATACAACACACAATGTTAATTTCTGGTTTTCTAAGAATGTGCAGGGGCAGGGATCCATTGCTATTCGAGGTTAATAACACTGCCTAAGACCATACAGCTAATAAATTAGAACCCTTAATGGAGGTAAATAAATAGGTTGTCGATAAAAATCAACCAAGTGCCAATGGATGCAGCTTTCTGTATAGCTCTAGTCAGATTCTTATTGCGGGCATCTATCAGCTTCTGGATCGTTCCCTATCCTTCAAAAACAGAAAAGATTATTACCTGGCTCCCAGTCTTCCTCTTTACCTCAGTGCCTGCCCTCAACCTTGGGGGATTCAATATTTATATGAATGTCTTTTCAAACACTTTGCTCATGAAGTTCGTAATTTTACATCTCCGTACTATCTCAGTTAGCACGGGGCTATCATGTCTTTGAGGTCACTGTCACCCAAGACTCTCCTACCGACATGAACTCAAACTCTGAAATGTCTCTCTCTGATCATAATCTCCTGTCTTTCCAGCTCTTCCTCAGCGTCACTCATCCAAAACCTATTTTTCATCTTTATCGGAAAATCTAGTCTTCCATCCTTCCCTGCTCTTCAGTCCATCATCCCTCCTCTGGTTTTACCTTCATCTTATTGCCAACCACCTCAACTCTACACTGCTCTCTAACCTCAAACCCCTTGGCTCTTGCTCCTTTCCCTTCCAGTCCCCATCTCTTTCCCCTCCTGAGAGAATGTTAAACACAACATCTACAAAGGAGAATTCTTTCTCTTTTGCTCATCACCCTCTCAGACATCGTCTTCCCTGAGCTCCTCTGTTTCTATTGAGGATACCAGTTTTTGGCTCAGTCATTTCAGTTAAGAACCACAGGGACATCCCTGACTCCTTCTAAACTATTGCCATCCCTTTATTCTGATAATTGATCAATTGCTGAGGTTTGTTGATTTGATTTCCTTAAAAAAATTAAGGCTATCTCCCTGATTCATCCAGATTGGAACTCATGAGTCCAAAGCCACTACTTATTGGTATGGGAGCTTTGACGTGCTCTCTTTCCAACTGAAGCCAGTTTGTTCCTTCTTAGGCAACTTGGAGGGACCACCACCACCACCACCACTAACTCCTGAGACCACATCACATTAATGCTTAACTTAGTGCCAACAGCCCATCAGCACAGTCTAACGTAATTCAGAATTCCTGAGCTCAAGAGTTCCACCAGGCTTAGTCTCCTGATAGTTAGAATTACAGGCATGCACCACCATGCCCACCTTGCCTCAATTTCTATAACATCCATCTTTTCCTTACTCACAATCCAGCTACCACAGGTCAGGCCCTTGGTCTCTTTTTCATGAATTATAGTAAAGATCTCCTAATTAGTCTTTGTCTTCTACTTTTGTCTCTGATAGCCGCCGAAAAATCTCTATGGCACAGGTGTTTCCTTGCTTAAAATGCTTCAGTATCACCCTACTGCTTCTAAAATGAAATTCAAACTCCCTGGCCTAGCATTTATTAAGGCCCTTCACAGTCTGGCTCCCATTTACCTTTCCAACCTTATTTCATATTACTTTCCTTCAAGGACTCTATGTTCCAATTAAATTTGACTATTTAAGGTTCCCAAATATCAACATTCCATCTCTCATCTATATGTATTCACATTGGCTTTCTGACCTGCCTGAGATATACTTCCTCATCTTCAGTTTCTGATCCCTGTCCTCCTACAAGGCCTGGTTCAATGCCACCTTCTCCAAGAAGGCTTCCTTGACCTGTCTGGTTATTAATGGTCTCTCCCTTTTCAAATTTGCTGTTGTTGTTATTGTTGTTGGTGGTGGTGGTGGCCATTTCAGTCACATCCAGCTCTTCATGACCCCATTTGGGGTTTTCTTGGCAAAGATACTGGAGGGGTTTGCCATTTCCTTCTCCAGCTCATTTTACAGATGAGGAAACTAAGGCAAACAGGGTTAAGTGACTTGCCAGGGTCACACAGTTAGTAAGTGTCTGAGGCCCAGTTTGAATTCAGGAAGATGATCCTTCTGACTCCAGGCCTGGCACTCTATTCCTTAAGCCACCTAGCTCTCTGGGGTCAGGAAGACATGAGTTTGAATAGAGCCTCAGACACTTGCTAGCTATGTGACTCTGGCCCAAGTCATTTAAATTCTTTCTCTTGGCTTCCTCAATTATAAATGAGGACAATAATTGCATTTACCATCCAGGGCTGTTGTGAGGATCAAATGAGATAATATTGGTAAAGTGCTTAGTACAGTTCCTGGCATATAATAGGCACTCTAGAGAGGCTTATTCCCTTCCTCATTCCTTCTTTTTGCTGTGTTAACAGTCCCTATCAAATGCTAATAGCTTCCCAAGCTAGAGTTCTTGACCTCTTGTGCGTTGTGGGTTCCTGTAGCAGTCTGGTGGAACCTATGGACCCCTTCTCAGAATAAAGTTTTTAAATGCACAAACTAAATTTCAGAGAATTACAAAGGAAATTGATTATTCGGAAAGAGTTAACAAAAATTTTTAAGTTTAGAGACACCGAGTTAAGGACACTTGCTCTAACATTTATCTGCCCAGGAAACATACCATTAGGTTGGGGCTAGAAAGTCAACAGGGACACAATCTGCTCTGTCCTTGTTGGCTGTCAGCACCATGACCTTCAAAGTCAAGTGAACAGAGCCATGCAACTTCCCTGCAGGTGACAGCAAGGGATTTGCCACAAGCTCTTTTGTAGCTATTTGTTTTGTCCTATAGATGTGCAGACTGATTGGAATGAAACCTGCACGTGTTTTTATCTCTGGCCTACCCTGACTGAAGCCTTTCACTGGCCACTGACAAGGGTTCACTATGACCTAGGAACAATATTCACATAAGAACCAGCCCCAAGCAGTGATCACACGCTGGAGGCTGATAAAAAAATGGCAGCCTTTGACCTGCCCGTTGACAAAAGTTACGAAGCAAAAATAAAAGCGAGGAATTGTGAAGAAGAAACTAGTGATCATCACGCTTACCTTTTCTTCTATTTCTTTCAGTTGTCGTTTCTGAAGTTCTATTTTATCCTCTAGGTCCCGAATCCTCTGAAACATAGAAAGTATATGTCAATAGGTGGGTGAATAAATAATAATTAATGTTTGTATACTGCCTTGAGATTTGCAAAGCATTTTACAAATATCTTATTTTATTCTCACAACAACTCTGGGAGGTAAATGCCATTATTATCCACATTTTATAGATGAGGAAACTGAGGCAGACAGAGGTTTAATGACATGTCAAGGATTACCCATATAGCAAGTGTCTGCATCTGGATTTGAACTCAGGTCTTCCCGACTCTAGGCCCTATGTTCTATCTGCTGTACTACCTACATTTTCTCCTCTACAAAATGGGACAACTCTTACCTTACCCTGCCAACCTCACAGGTGGGTTGAGAGGATCCAGTGAAATAGTATTGAGTCCCATATTCTGGCCCAGAAAATCACAAAATCACAGGAATTCAGGGTTAGAAGAAAACTCAACTACCATTTAGTCCAACCCCATGCATCCAAAGAATCCTCTCTACATCATACTCATGATACCACATACCTGCTAGTCTTAAAAAAGCTATATTTGCCTCCTAATTCCTTTTTCATGCCTAATGTGGTAGCTTGTTTTAAAAACAAGCATTTCTTTCCTACTTTATGGTCTACAAAGCACTTTTCATTCCCTCTCTCTTATGGACCTTCCGACTACTTTGAGGAAAAGGTGCCAATAAAAATTATGATTCCCATTTCACAAATAAAGAAACTGAGGTTGCAAGAGGTCAAGTGACATGGACATGATTAACCAGCTATTAAGTGTCAGAGGAAGAATTTGAGGATATGATGCTCTATCCACTATGCCATACTTCCTCTCAAGATCTCCAAATGCCACAAATTAAATTCCAAAACCAAACCATTTAACACATCTCATTGACTTGACTTTAACAATCCTAAAATAATAAGTAATCTTTGAGTTCAACTAGGACAACTCCTTGGCTAAAGTGGGAATCTCCTGTTAAACATCTCCAATATGTGCATAATCCAGTTATTTCTTAAACCCCTCCAGTGAAGAAAAGCACATTACCTCAAAAGGCAACCCATTCCACTGCTTAATAAGCATAGGGACATTTTTTTCTCATATTGAGTGGAAGTCCATTCTTCATGACTTTCACTTGCTACTGTTCCCTCCCTCTACAGTCACTAATAATAACTAATATATACATTATTTTTATTATTTCCATTTTACAGATGAGAAAAGGTTAAGTGATTTACCCAGGGTCATGCTGCTCTGACAGTTAAGTGTTAGAGGTCAGATTTGTATTCAAGTCTTCCTAACTCTGGTCCTGCACTCTATCCACCATATTATTTCAACAAACATTTATTAAGTTTCTACTGTATACAGAACACTAGGCTAAGTACAGAGTCAATATATAAAGTTTCAATAAGATACAATCTTATCATTACACCTTCATTAAGTATAAGCTTGGCTACTGACTCCTGTTTGACTATCATGTACCAGTCCTTCAGATGAAGAAATATTGGGGGGAGCCAAGATGGCGGAGTTAAAAGGTAGTTGCTCTCACTCTCCCCTATCAACCTCTGAAAACCCAGAAAATATCACCACAGAAAAAAAAAAACCCTGGAACACCTGAACTAGAAGAAGGACGAGGAGCAGCAGTGCAGCAGCCCAGCAAACGGGTCTCCCAGTGCCTCAGCAAAAATAAGGGAGGCAGAACTACAAGGGGCCCCAGGCGGACAAGTACCCTGTGGCATTCATCTGAAAGGAGGTGAAGAAAACAACCTAAAGGCTTCCTAAAGCCCTGGCCTTGCTGATTCCAACCCAACACCAGGTGAGCTGTAGGAGCCCTGAAGCCTCCAATTGTGAAGAAATCCTGAAGCCCAGGTGGTGGAGCAGGCAAACACCAACACCTGGACCTCCAAGTGCCTCAGTGAGGGCAGAGGGAACCAGTGGAAACCAGCTCAGAAAACCACCAGGAGCCTCGGCACTCCACACAAAGGAATCTCCCAGTGCATTAGCAGAAACGAGGGAGACAACACTGCAGGGGGCCCCAGGCAGATAAACACCCTGCAGCACCCATCTAAAAGGAGCTGAAGAAAGCTAAAGGAAAGGAAAAGCAGGCAACCTAGAATTGCCTGAAAGTTCCAGCCTTGCTGATTCCAGCCCACATGAGGTAAGCTGCCAGAAACCTACAGCCTCCAATTCCCAGCATAAGAGGCCCCAGCACGCAAAGCCAGTGACCAAGACCTAGGCTCCCAACACAAGAAGCTTGGGTCAGTACCCTCTGTTCCCCAGCAGGAGAGCTCAATCTCTTTAAAGGCCAGGGAATAAAGAAACACCATGAGTAAAAAGAAACGTACCATAGATTCATATTATGAGAAGAGTGAAGATCAAGACAGAAATTCTGAAGAGGACAACATTGTCAACAAACCCACATCTGCAACAACAAAAGGGAATATGAACTGGTCTGAAGCCCAAAAAGCCTTCTTAGAAGAGCTCAAGAAGGATTTTAATAGTCAAATGAGAGAGGTAAAGAGTCCTTCAAAAATACAATTGGCCAATTGGAAAAAAAAATACACTGAAGAAAACAAGTCCCTAAAAAACACAATTGGCCAGTTGAAGAAGGAAGTACAAAAACTAACAGAAGAAAACAATCTGTTAAAAACTAGAATTGGACAAATGGAAACTAATGTCTCTATGAGAGAGCAAGAATCAGTCAAACAGAAACAAAAAAATGAAAAAATCAATGAAAATGTAAAATACCTCATCAGTAAAACAACCAACCTGGAAAATCGACTCAGGAGAGACAATTTAAAAATTATTGGACTACCTGAAAATCATGATGAAAAAAAAGAGCCTGGACAGTATCTTTCAGGAAATCATAAAGGAAAACTGCCCAGAAGTCCTAGAACCAGAAGGGAAAATAACCATAGAAAGAATCCACCGATCACCACCTGAAAGAGATCCCAAATTGACAACGCCAAGAAATATAATAGCAAAATTCCAAAATTACCAGATGAAAGAGAAGGTGCTGCAAGCAGCCAGAAAGAAACAATTTAAATATCATGGAACCACAGTCAGGATTACACAGGACCTTGCAGCTTCTACATTAAAAGACGCAGGGCATGGAACATGATATTCCGTAAGGCAAAGGAGCTTGGAATGCAGCCAAGGATCAATTACCCAGCAAAAATGAGCATCATTTTTCAAGGGAGGAGTGGATATTCAACAAATAGGAGACTTCCAAACTTTCCTGATAAAAAGACCAGAGCTCAACAAAAAATTTGATCTTCAAGTACAGGACTCAAGAAGGACTTAAAAAGGTAAATGGGACAGAAGGATACAATATGTTGTTAATAAGGGGGGGGCTGTTTAAACCCCTACAAGGGAATATGAGACTTGCAACCCTTGAGAACTGTATTGTTATTACACCTTGTTAAAGGAGTATACATAAAGAGGGTGGATATTAGTTGACTTTGATGTAATGATAAAAAAAAATCTAATCAAGTGGGTTAAATGGATCCAAATAAGTGGATCAATCTGATCTTAGAAAATGTACTGAGAAAGGAGGAGGCAGACAAGGGTAAATTACATTACAGGAAAAGACACAAAATCCTATTACAGCAGAGGGAAAGAGGGGGGGAGCATTGTTTGAACCTTACTCTCATCAGATTTGGCTCAAGAAGGGCATAATACATAATCAGTTAGGTATAGAAATCTAACTTGCCCTATAGGCAGTAGGAGGGAAAAGGGGAAAGAAAAGGGAGGAGGGAAAGAAAAGGGAGGGGGGAAAGAAGGAGGGAAGCAGCAGTAAGACTAAAGGGGAAGAAAAGGGAAAGGGATAATAAAAGGGGGAACTGAAGGAGGGGTGGTCAAAAGCAAAACACTAGTGAAGGGGAGAAAGGAAAAAGGAGAAAGAAAAGCATAAATGGGGGGAAAGGATGGAGAAAAAGACACAGATAGTAATCATAACTGTGAATGTGAATGGGATGAACTCTCCCATAAAATGGAAATGGATTGCAGAATGGATTAAAAACCATAATCCTACAATATGTTGTTTACAGGAAACACATTTGAAAAAGAGTGACACATACAGGGTAAAGGTAAAAGGCTGGAGCAGAATATATTATGTGTCAGCTGAAGTGAAAAAGCAGGAGGTAGCAATCCTGATCTCAGACAAAGCAAAAGCAAAAATAGATCTAATCAAAAGAGATAAGGAAGGAAACTACATCCTGCTAAAAGGCACCATAGACAATGAAGTAATATCATTACTAAACATATATGCACCAAATGGTATAGCATCCAAATTCTTACAGGAGAAGTTCAGGGAGTTACAGGAAGAAATAGACAGCAAAACTATACTAGTGGGGGACCTGAACCTCCCCCTCTCGCACTAGATAAGTCTAACCACAAAATAAACAAGAAAGAAGTTAAGGAGGTGAATAGAACATTAGAAAAGTTAGGTATGATAGACCTCTGGAGAAAACTGAATGGGGATAGAAAGGAATATACTTTTTTCTCGGCAGTACATGGCACATACACAAAAATTGACCATGTACTAGGGCATAAAAACCTCACAATCCAATGCAGAAAGGCAGAAATATTAAATGCATCCTTTTCAGATCATGGTACAATAAAAATTATATGTAATAAAGGGCCATGGAAAGATAGACTAAAAAATAATTGGAAACTAAATAATCTAATCCTAAAAAATGATTGGGTCAAACAACAAATCATAGAAACAATCAATAATTTCATTCAAGAGAATGACAATAATGAGACAACATACCAAAACCTATGGGATGCAGACAAAGCAGTTCTTAGGGGAAGTTTTATATCTCTAAATGCTTACATAAATAAAATAGAAAAAGAGGAGATTAATGAATTGGGCATACAACTAAAAAACTAGAAAAAGAACAAATTAAAAATCCTCAACTAAACCAAATTAGAAATATTGAAAACCAAAGGAAAAATTAATAAATTGAAATTAAGAAAACTATTGAACTAATAAATAAAAC